TTGGAGTCTGTAATTTCGGTGAAAACTGATCTTAGGTAAATTCAGCAATCAATATTCAAGGACTTGTGTGGAGGTGGGTGGACGTACGCTGAAGCATCACGCTTTCCTCCACCCCAACAGGAATAAAGTTTCGCATTAGAACTTGTGATAAAATGGCTAATAATAGCGGGAGAATTCACCACGTCCAACCACTTTAATGAGGCCGTACAACCTACACAAAGTGAATTGGCGCCAAAAGACCTAGCGTCATCAAAGTGGCAGCAAAACCTAGTTTGGGGCTAAAAGTCGACGCAGAACACAAATTCCCACATCCGGTTTGGTTGTTCTGCGTGTTTGACGAAATCCACATCGAATTTAACGCGTTTAAAGTATGGAAATTCGTCGAAATTTGTGGACCTGGTGACATCGTCAAAATTCGCAGAGCATCAAACGCCGAAGGCAACGGATGAATGGCTCCAATGTTTACGAATTCACAGCAGTTTTTGTCAGGATTGAGGTTAGAAGGAAATCCGAGCGTGCAAATGCCTGGCTGATGTTTAGACACCACGCTGCACGGATTATCTCAGCCGCGGCGAATGGACTTTGACAGGTTAAACCACCAGATACATCGCATGGTGTGGTGCACGTTGGCGACATTCCAGTTTTAAACACAAGAAATAAACTGACGTATGACTAATTAACCAAGTCTAGACTCACGAAGGAAGAGTTTTTTCCCCGCTGTCTAACGCCTTCATCTCACTTCACATTATACACAGGAGATGGTAAGGCTTGGTTTGTGTGTGTGTGTGCACGTGTGCAATTAACTCATGATTCGTTACAAGGCATTGGCACGAGAAGCCTAGGGTGAGGACAAGGTGTGGCACACTAAATAGCCCTTTTTCAATCAATTCTAAAAAAGCTCTGAGCGGGTATGTGGTGAGTGAGCCTCACGATTGACGCAGTGGGTTCATGCTAGGCGCGCGATCACGTGACCTCGAAGCCGTACAGCTCTGTGTGAGCCTGCCGCTGATGCTGCTGGAAGGAACGCGATGGTGTAACAGAGAAGACTAATCTCGGATCTCCAAACCAGTGGTTGAAATTGTTTACGCCATGTCACATTTGGAGGTGTGTGTGTGTGTGTGTGTGCGTGTGTGGGTACGCACAAGCTATGGATGTTGTGACCTCGTGATGGGTGGATCTCAAGTGTACACCAACGCTAGTCCCACCTTTGCAACACACAAAAGGCATCCACGGTATGTGCGCTTGAGGATGCCAAGAAAAATTGAATGAGCTACGACTGCAACTGAGACATGACAAACGGAGACACGTCCACTACACAAACACGAGTGACTGAAATTGTGTACAAGTGCTGACACAGGAGGCGGGCGCCCTGTAGAACGCTACCACAGTAGACGATCCATGCGTTCAACTTGGAAGAGGGAAATCACGTAAGCATCTGAATGTGCGAGTTTTTGAGGAGTCGCTTGTTGCCGCCACGGAATGGTGAGTGGTGCAACTGACAACACGAGGCAAGCAACTGCTCACACAACAGATGATCGCTGTCGTTATTCGCCGTATGCATGTTTCACGACGGCGCACTCACGCGTGAATCAAAACGTCTAGGCAACAACTAGCTAAGCGTGACCCTTAAACGACCTCAAATTCACAGCAATATGCAAGGATATCCACTTCTACAAATTATGAATCCCCTCCTCGTCATTATAAAATAACTCCATTCACTATTTATTTTCGAGTCGACCAGATCATGGTGAGTTATAGACCACCGAGACGCAGTGTCAAGTGGTAACCTAACTCAAACCACAGTGGTGGCCACCGCGTAAAAAGGTTACACGAAAACACGCAAATTTCGGATAATGGATCGATTGAAGTTTTTTTTCCAACACTAACTGCATCCAAGCTAGTGCCTTATGCCCCGCAGAAAGTTTGACGCGACAGCCTAACTAACCCAGGCTGGCAAGGAGTCAAAATAGGCGTGTATAGCGGGGGGTTGGCATTAATTGCGCTAAAAACAGGTGTGGCGGTTGGTGATTGCGCGTGATTACTGAAAGCGCCTCAAATCGGCGGCAGCAAACCAAGAATTAACCTGACCGCATCTGGTACTGAGACATGCCAGAATCGTAATTAGGGGTCTTTGTGCGCGCGTGCGTACGTGCGTTCTAGAGCTTCAGGCTAATCTAACGGCCAAATTCAGGCTTAAAGTTTAAGAATTAACCAGAGCCAGGTTCGGGGAATAGCATGTGAAGGTAGAAAACGCAAACGCACCTGGACCTGGTCGACAGCACCAGTAAAACCGCTTGAGAGGTCATCCAAAAACACACTTGGCGAGGGGTCGATCGGAGAGATTCGATCTTTAGACAGGTCGACAATTAGCGCATTGCTTGACGAGGAACTAAGCTGTCGATTGAATTGCGAATTGGTGGAGTCCAGCGCTGAGGTCGCGGGCGGCGGAAGAGGCCGAGCTTGAGCTGGGCTGACGCCAAACCGCGTGTCCGAAGACGCCGAGTGATGTCTTTCACGTAGCCCCTCAGAGCTGACTCCAATGGGCTTGGGTTTTTGCAATAGGGCATTGAGTAGCGTTAGGTTACTCCGTGGTGTGTCGGGAGATTTACTCAAATCTTGACGCCTGTTTTCGTGAAGTTGGCGTGGTGGCTGCTGCTGTGGCGGTGGCTGTGGTTCTATTGGCTGCTGAACAAATCGAAGACATTTCCCCTGGGCACTGGATTGGCGGTTAAAGGCTACCGGTTGATGTTGTTGTTGTTGTTGATGGAACTGCTTGCCTGTGACCTGACCGCGACAAAGTACCTGCTGGTGAGATGATGGCAAGGCATTGTAGGGTCTGTAGTGGTTTTGGTACTGCGGCGTCATTGACTGCTGGTAGGCACTGAACATCTCCTGAGTGTTGTAAGCAACTTGTTGGTAGTCGTTTGAGAGGTATTCGTCTTCAGCGATAGTCGGCATAACTGGTTGTTGCAGCAGACTTGCAATCAAATCACTACGACAATTCTCCGAATTTGGCTGCAGTTGAGTTAAACCAGGCTGCATGATGTCCGAGTTCCCTAACATGGACATGTCTCGGGGATTGGGAAACGGCTGATCCAGGAATAAGTCCAGGCTTCCATCGAAATCGCGCATTAATTCGTCAATAAAGCGTGGACTCCCCACGCCAGAAATGCTGGGTACGTCACTGAGAATGTCCTTTTCCTCGAGGTACTGAATCTTTGACGGAAAGTCAAGAGGCATGTCGAAATCGGGCCGACGCTTATCCGAACGAGCGGGTGGTTTTTTACGAAGGTGATTGATGAAGAATGTCCGCCAGCGCCGATACTCATTTGAAAGCTTTTTGGAGTGTCGATTCCAAAACTTCCCCTCCATAACTAGACACTAAACGAATGTTTACGAAAATAAGAAATGTCATACCTGAGCCTTAATGTGAGTTTCATCACAAGAGGGTACCTGGAACTTAACGATGACTGGAGGCAACTGTTTCACGTCTAAAAAAAGAATTACGGAAACCGAAAATGAGCGCCTACATTGCATATGGTATTCCCGCCAGATGATGTTATTGAGGCGGACTTTTTGCTTCAGGGCGAAACCAGTTCCCTTGAAGTGGCTCCAACGAGGGCTCGTCAGTGTTTCTACGTAGGCAAGGCTTAAACTTTTGAAGAGCGACTGAAGGCCATCGAAAGCGGGGAGTCCGGAGGTCTTGTGATCGGTTACAGTCTCGAAGTCCTCCAATGACTCCACATCCTCCTTTTCACTTTCAGAATCGTCCAACTTGCTTATCATAAACTGTCCGCTTTGAATTTCCGAATGCTTCTCCGTCTCACACATTTTCCGCTAAAAGTAGAAAAATTTCAAGAATGAGATGAAAGAAGCACACAAAGGTTGTAATTGTTAGTACAACAAGGACTTGTGTTTGAGTTGACATGACGTTTTTATACTGTAAAATTTAAACTGACTGTCGACATTTCAGTGGTTTATATACAAAATATAAAAAATTGAGAAGAGACGAATAAATAAACGGGGTTTGTTTACTAGTTTTGTGTTTTATCGTGAGGTAGGAGTGGGAACACGACCGTAGCAACATGGATACAAAAAAAATACAAATTTTAAAAAAACAAGACCATACGGCGTCACCCAAAAAAGAATTTTAGTTTAAGATTTGTCAATGTCAATGGCCCCAGAAAAACTCATGCTATCATATTCGTTTATATTTTTCCATCCCAAATTAGAGAAGACTCGCATTAATTTTACGAAAAGAGTTAAAACAAGAATGCGAAGAATAAAAACTTGTCTTCGGTTTTTTAAAAGCATTTATTTTCGACAACTAGTTCGATGGAATTGTGTCTAATATTGTGTCAACAGCGTAGTTAGCTGTAGGAAATGAATCGACAAACAATCGACAGCCAAAATATTTTGAAAAAATTTTTGTGTTACGGGTGGGCAATAAAAAGAGGAGGTAATTGACTAATCTTAATATAGGAGCACAACTCAAAAATAAATACCGTAAAACCACGACTTTAAAAAGCGGATTTTATTTGATGCATCGTATTTTGCACCTAATATAAAGATTTTCGAGTACGTCGACAAACAATTACATATATATAACATAAATTTAGAGAAATACCTACCCGCAAACAACGGAGACTACGTTCCCAATATTCGAGGGAATTTGACTGATGCGCCGTCAAATAGAATCAATATCAAGAAATCAAAAAAATGTGGAATTTAACTGTGGCTTCTAGCCTGTTATCAGTATTTAAAAACCCTATACTTGCATAAACATAATTTTTTCACCGTTATGAAGAAAACAATCGTCAGGATTTGTTTGGATAGTTATTTTGACGCACCTGCGTCGATGTAATTTATTTTTACACAACTAAGTTTCACATAGTAGTTTTTTATAAGTAATAATAAATTCTATTATGTCTTTATCAGCCTGTTTAACACAGAAAGCAAAAGGATTTTCCATAAACCTAACCACTATCACTGACTGTGACCATTTGCATCAATTTCAAAATTTTCATTAAATTTGCACCAAAAAACCGCAAATAGCGGCTCCAACTATACAGTAATGCTTTGTAAAAGCATAAATCCTATTAATTTTTACGAGGTGCACTTTCATTTGCTTAAAAGACCCTCGTTAATTCGTATTACAGAATGGAAATTACGAGGTAAAAACATTTTTCTTGATCCTATTAATTCATGTCAAAACCAAGAATAGGACTAAAGCAGTAATGGGTTTTTATCTACAAGGTCTTTGTTTGAATAGGTGTAAATGCGGCAACGTAAGTTAAGTATGTATAATGGAATGAGTGTGGTCACTGTAAAATACCCGATCCCTAATAGGAAAAAGACCGGTACAACAGAACAGGCTTTTTTGACCAATCAGAAGCCAGAGCCACACGTCAGGCGCCCGTTATCCGAGTCCACCACGTTGGCCACGCCGCTCATTATATATATACAGCTCCTTAGTCGCGTCCTTCTCTGGTTGGCTGCTTCCCTTCCTCGCATGCCATTGGAACACAGAGAGGCACAGGATTGGCTGAGGCCAGGTGGTCCAACATGTCTGCGCCCTGATCCGACGCCACAGTCACCATCAATGAATTGGCGGCTACGTTCAAATAGACTTATTTCTGAGATTTCAGAAGCTAAATTGGACTTGAAAATATTTAGATAACTCTGTTATGTTTTTCTAATGCGATATTCGGCAGTTCGGTTTCTTTTATTTTTTGTTGTTATTCCAGGCACGTTTGCTTATTTTGACGATCGATTTCCATGCTTGATTTTCGACAAGTGCCAATGAAGATATAATTTAAAATTAGCTGCGTCTATTGTCCAACCTCAGACATTTCATGTGGAGCAAATTACAAGATAAATGGATGATTTCTACTGTTTGTAAAAGCATATATGAATGAATTCATGCCCTAATATACACACACGCACGAGTACTGCGTGAAGCATAAAAAACCCATTTGCTACAAGAAATGTCGATACCTTTAACGTATAAAATGTCTTTAAACTCTCAGTTAGTTAACATTAGGATTTCTAGTTCAGTAGAAGTCATAGGGGTCGACGATTTTTATCACTGTAACCTAGGTTTGCACAATCACGCGGTTAGGTGCGCCCAGTGTCCCGGTATAATTTCAACCAATCACGTTAGGGGTAGCATGAAGTCTTATGAACACAAGTCCACTAACTTAACATTGGTCTCCAGAAGTCGGCCTTCACTGAATGCTTTCGAAATAGTTATATTCAACCTTTTTTTAACTTTTACATAATTAAATCAACGTCAAACCACCTCATCTTTTTGATAAAGTGGATTTTCGAAAAAGCCTAAAATTTTGGTTTTTTTGTAATAGGCAACCTTTACAAAGTGTTCGAGCGTTTAAAACGTGACCAAGCTGCTCTGTGTCAGTTTTGACCTACTTAATTGCTTGATTTTAAGTGACAAGAACATAAGATGTTATCATTAATTAATTCCTTATAAATCAAGTTATGCAACTAATTGTATAACCGGAAATTTGAGTGCAGCAATTCATACGGTTCTGGTTATTTAGTAAAGAAGTATGGAATCGAACCACAGTGAAGCTTATTTGTCAGGAAAATTCTGTCACGATTATAGATCTTTTGGCCAAAATTAGAATTAACATATCCCGAACCGACTTCCCGCTGGCTAGTTTCATACCTGTGAAGTGGTTAAGTTTTCTCATAATTTTTAGCGATAAATCTGGCGCGAGTATGGATCGATCAATAAAAAAATTGCTGATCATCGAATCATGTAGGCGACCGATTGCCTTGCACGTTAAACTCATTGGCCTAGATTAAAATGGCAATGAATTTGATTGGTTGACAGTTTACGAACGATGATTTCGAATCACTACTCATGAGGCTACGGCTTGTAACACAATGGGTGAAAAATGAAATTTACCCCAAGTACGAATTAGTTGGATGCTGAGTGTTTGACTGCATGATGAGATCTTCAACGGTTTACACAAATTTTCATTTGCATAATTGAGCACTGAAATCACACAATCAGATTTCGAATGCCCTATGACTCAAAAGATTCTGGGTATAAACGGTACTTTAAATTATAAAAAAACACAAAAAGTAATTTTTTGAAAAGATATTGTGCTATGCACAACTAAGCAGTCTGTTGTGAATCGCGATGATTCACACTCGCTAATCCGATCACCCTAGCCTCCGACACACGGTCCCCCTTTTCAAAGCACCTGTAGTGAATTGTGTGGATCCACGTTAAACACCCCGGTCGTCGCAGCCTCACACACGCACGTCCCCTCTGTTCACGACCTCCCCGTCAGTCACGTGAGGCCATTGGTTCGTCCCACCACCCCTTTTAGTCATGTGACCTCACAGACACCTGTGTTTATTTTTGTACATGTCCACTGAACCGTAATTGTACACGACACAACTTTGTGGGGCCATCTGGTAAGCGGCTGTGCCTTCCCCACTCCGGTCCTTATTTTCGCGGGAACACAGGGTAACGTATTCGGCCTTAGATTGTCGCAGTGGCCCCGGCGTGGTTCGAGACAACATGCCGGGGACCTCTACACACCTAACCAGCCACGTGGATCCTCAACTCCCCCCTCGTTAGCACGAACATTTATTCTGGAATATCCTCATACCTAGATCTCGATCTCATCAATGACTCACACATCCGAGGTATAAATACGCACAGGTAAACCCAACAAACGACACCAACGTGGTTGAGCTCTAAAGTAAAGAGGTGTGTCCACGTCCTCTCCGGTCTTTTTCTTCATCGCGGGAATCAGGGAAGTGTAATCGGGCCAGGGTTAATTCATTGGCCCCGGAGCGGTTCAAGACCACGCTCTGGGGCCATCAAAACTTCCACCATATAAGTTATTTTATGCTTAAATTTGAGTTTGCATCGGCAAAAGTAAGAAAACCATTTAATGTTGTATCAAGCAGCATTTGCAAGCGTGACTCCAGCTAAAAATTAGTTTCTCTGCGTTACACATGGTCTTGAAATTTTCCGTTTGAAATCGTTTAATTAAAATTCAAAAAAAGTCGTTTTCTGTGCAAAACAAGACTGACTATGGAAGGTACCAGTGCTTTGTGTACGTCTGAGTAGCGAACGAGCCGTCCCCGTGGTTATAAATACGACGCTAAGGGACGCATTTTGATTGGTTAGGTGACATCCAACTGGACAGCGAATAATGCTACAGTTTTGACAAGAAAATTTGCACATGAGCTTTTAATCGTTGATCGCTAGATTTGTCCTTCGACAACGACAGATTAATGCTCACAATCGCATTATTCTTACTTCTAACATGTGAGTTATGTACGCATTATTTCCTTTATTCGTGTTATTTGTTAAATTTTAAATATATTATGCAGTGTTATCCATAATTTGATTGGTGGTTGCGTATTATTGTTTTTAATTTTCAGAAAGTTTTAATTGTTTGATGTGTGAATATGTTGTAATTTTAGAAATAACTTTTATAAACCATACATATTACCATTTCTGTTCATTCCTTACAATTACTTATTACTAATTTTTTGACGACCAGCTTACTGACGAGGATTTGGACAAGAACGTTAACTTATCACAAGTAATTTTTAAATTTGCTCTACTGTTAGGAATCCGCGTCTGTACTGTTTCAAGGGTCTAATTACAGTGATTGATAATTTACGCTTGCTGCTAACCGCTTCCGTGATTCTTGTTTATTTCTCATTGGTTTAACTGAGAAATTTCATTTAAAAACAGTGATGTGTATAAAAAAGTAGAAATCGCTAGAATATTCTATGTTGTTTCAAATCCTGATGGTAATGGGATAAAACGAATTTTCTTTTTCAAAATGCTACTGTGGGCCCCAGCATGTGGTCTTGAACCACGCCGGGGCCACGGAATTAACCCTGGCGCGATTACGCTTCCCTGATACCTGCGGTGAAGGAAAAGACCGGAGAGGACGTGGACACAACCCCTTACTTCAGAGCTCAACCTCGTTGTTGTCGTTGTGTCATGGATGGCATTTGCGCGTGTGCATTTATACCTCAAATATGTGAGTCGTAGATGGGCTAACATCGAGGCCCAGGTGTGGGGATACTCCAAGATGAATATTCGTGCTAATGAGGGGGAGTTGGGGATCCACCTGGCAGGATAAATGCTGTGAAACTGGGGACCCTGTGTCGGAGACTGGGGTGATCGGATTAGCGAGCGTGAATCAACGCGATCCACAACAATTAAATCATTTTCCAGCATCCCACATTAAAGGTTGTATTTTTATCGTCAACCGCATTTCTATGTAAAATATTCGGATACGAAATTTGGATTTTTAGGACCTGAATTCCGAGAAACTGAGCACAATGTGATACAAATTTGACGCACTTAGTAAAACATTTTCTTTTGATAGTAAAATTCTGCAATCAATTCATGTGCCACCAGCGTAATATTTGGTTTTTGATCGCTACACTAAATGAATATTTTTTCTTAGTCCCACCTCAACCACAACTGTTTTTGCTTAGCCAATGAAAAAATTATCGAAATTGGGTTCCAACTACATTATTGTTGAAATTTAAAAAACTGACAGTTTTGCATATACGGCGCAAAAAATCTCAAAATCAACGACTGGATGCTAAACGGCGCCTTTAGTTGCCATTTGCTGAGAAATTTATACATTTTTTTAGTTTTATGGCCGATTGTGGTAAATTTGAAATTGATTGTACCGTCAGCGTCAAATTCACTATGGAAACCCTTCAAAATCACGAGTAATATTTAAGAATTTAATGCGAACAGAAATATTTATTGGCAGATTTTATATTCACCACCGCTTTGATTGGAAAATTTAATCGATTTATTGCATGGGACAAAATCAATATCTTTGCATTGGAATAGAAAAAACAGGTACTTCAAATGAAACTTTACTGACTCTAAATCAATTACATTTTTATTTAAATGTACTTTGTAATTTTCATGGAAGTATTCGTAGTAGATTATCAAAAGTTTCGGATTAGTCGAGAAGCAAACTGCCTTCAAGTGTCAAGAATCGGTATCGGTTTGATGCCTCATGGTTTTATCTTACATAGAGGTATTTATGACGCTTAAGACTGTCGAAAACACACGATGTAGTTGTGTTTATTACTTAAATATATTACCACACATAAGTGGAAGGCTTCTTCGTAACGAATGAGTTATATGCATGGAATTCGGGTTTGGTGAATGCCAGTGAAACTGAAGGTGATCTTAGATTAATTGAAGGACGCCTTGCGGCTCGTTTTGAAGAGGTAAATTGGTTTTGGTATTCAGTTGGGCTCTACACAAACGCTTGCATGCGTCTCACGTGCTACGACATGGGTCTGATTACTGACCAGAAAAAACTTACGTGTTTGGCTGGCGTAAAACAAGCGCCATTGTAGAGTGCTTAAATTGGGAAGTACTTAGAGCAAATTTTGTTTTAAAAAGGTTCTTTTATAATCTGGGAATCAGTACCAGTATTCAAAGTCCGGTACGTTTATGCTAGTAGGTGGTTCAGGTGTTGTTACAACGAAAATTTCCCAAGTTCGCTACTGTAGCTGGGTGGTAGATGCAACTAATTTACAATACTAATATTCTTTGTTAATACCACAAAAGACGATAACAAACAAGATATCACAAAGACTACGCACAATCAGGTGGAAGCAGAGCCCTTGATTAACCCACCAGGCATGAAAGTGCATCGCAAGGCGCTTAAGCCAAAATCAGTACCTGACATTGAAATTCAATCGAATATCGATCGCCAACGTGATTGGATGACCGTGGGTTTTGTCACAAAGAGAATTGAATTGATAATCCTCCGCCGGCATTGCCCTGGTAGCGTTCGCGAGTGAGTGAAGCTCGCTTAGAGAATTATCGATTTAGATGACTCATCCCTTCTTTTTTCATTGGCTGCTTCTATCAGTCGCTCACTCACCCGCACACTCAGGCACTTGGTTGGCGTGATGCTACCAAATCACCACACATTGCAAAAAGCTAGATTTGCAGGCGAGTGAGAGAATTATGGAAAATGAGAGTGTACTACTGCACAAAAGGCCACACGGTGATATCCGTCTCATAAAGGAGTAAAGTAGTTCCTAGCCAAGTTTTTTTGGAGATGTTGTTGGTGTTGTCCGGTTCCACTTCAGAGATTCTGTCAAAGCAACCTTGTGCTAAACAGAGAAAACCCGGGATTACTCGTTGTTGGCGCTGCTAATTAGTCATTGGAACCAAGTACACTCGACAATTAACAAGATTTTATCGATTACAAGCCGACTTATTAGATTCTAAAAACGGATTTTTAAAAGAAATTGAGTAGCTATTTTTTGTTGAAAACTGCCCTATGGAATGTGTTGCGAATACCCTAAAACGGTCAGAGTAAATTTATCCGCAGATCGCGGATATTTTAATTTACCATTCACATGGAGATTCGGTTTGATACGACGTTGATTTAATTAGCGAGCCTTGGCGGGGTGGTTGGCAGTGCCCAACCGCCAGATGCAGAGTTAATTGACAAGAGACCGCTCAACATAAATTTACAATCCAAAACACGAGTGCCCAGCACTCCTTTTTTCAATCGGTCTGATAACTTGTAAAGCCCAGAGCTAGATTGACTTCCTCGCGTGCATTGTTCCAAGAAAGCCAACTTTGCTGTTGTCCAATTGCTAAATTTGTATTTCTATTGTTGTAAACAAAAGCGTTTATCAAACTACGGCAGGGTTTGGTGAGCTGAATACAAGGCAGATCGCGAATCTTCGTGCCAGGCTCGGGCGAACGTGATTTCAATCGATATTTGAGTCAAATCGACTTTTGACTTCGATTATTTGATCTGTGTTGTGAGTAGAGCTCAGTGATTTGTGTGTCAACTGCTCCCGTTCAAACAAAAATGACATTTTGTTTGGCGTGACAAGGCGTCTGGCAGATTTGATGTTAACTTCAAAACGACTGGTTTATTTGATTGGTTGAGGGGCAGTAGAAGCTCAAAACCTACTTTCATTAGGCGATATTTTTAAAAAAAAACATGGATCGATAGTTGGTTTCTGACAGCTTCCAACGTTTCATTTCCATAAAATACCCACACATCAAATTTGTGCATGGATCCTAAAACGTCGGGATATCGAATGGGGTAAAACAGTTAGAACACCGACAAACTGATGGTGGCTTCAAAAGAGCTTGTTCCATTAAGCGATATATTGAAGAGAAATGGAGCAATAGTTGAATAGCGAAGCTAACCGTAGTGAAATCGGTAAATTGTTGTTTTGTCGCCAGTGATGATGGTGATGATGATGGAATCGCGGGGCGAAATTTATCCAATAATTGATTTTTGCGATGTTCTTTTAAAGAGATTGAAATCGTTCCACTTTTGTAGAAATCACAATTGGTGATGAACAAGTGGATTAAATCACTCGAAACTGAATTTTTTTTGGTGAAATTACCCTAAGGGTGTTTTTCCTAGAAAACCAGACCGTCGGTTCAATTGTTTACTGCCAATAACTTATGAAACCAGAGTTAGAAAAATTCTGCGTAAATAGGCAGTGACAATCGACAAGGTGCCGAGCATTCGGGTTTTTCTAAGACAACACAAAATCCCAATATACTTCGTAGAAATCAGTTAGTGGAAAACCCATCACTATTGATGATGATATTGATGACCTCAACTTACAGTTGGTCCGCTTACTCATTGATAGTTTGACCTAATTTCATTGGACAAAATATGGGAACAATCAGTTTTGTGAAAACAGATTTCTTGTGATGAAACTTGCAAAGTACTTCACGCTAAATGACTCAAATTGCCTTAATCCAGTAAAATGTCACGCGAAAGTCTACACGAACGATGTATGTGAATCCATTTCAAACAGAAAACGCCAATATAACCCAAAAATATGCGTTTACAAATGTTGTTTTACATTTAAATCAATCGGTAAAATGTGAAAGTAGCAGATTCCGTTAAATGTCACTTTTTTCAAACTAATTTATAAAAATAACTGAAATGTAATATGTATTAAGCCTTGATGATGACAAATTTGCAACAAACCCGTGGTTAACGTTGGTTTAAGGAATGTCTTGAAAACATAATCCTATGCTCAAGGCCAGAGTGTCAAGTTATCTGATCTGAATTCGGCGTAACCGCCCTCATTGACCAAATTTTAACAGAAAGTGGCTCACACCAGCCCGGGTTCAAGTTGTGTCTTATTTGGCCGTTGAGTATTTAGGGGATGAAAGCATTTTTTTACGGTGAAGCAGATGTGACAGGTGCCTACTTGAAATTACAGGCCGTGAACAAAAACACGCGCGTGAAGAGGAACGTAGTCAAAGTGATACTGTGGGCCTTGAAATGGGAAGCGTGTTTTGGGCACAATTTACACCAGATCTTGTGCCCTTGAGAAGTCATGCAGTCGATTACGAAAAGTACTTTTTGCTGGTTGAAAGTGTACTTCACGCAGCCCCTGTACAGTGAGGTTCTTTGGATTTCTCGGTGTGGATTGCTCCATATTTTGAAACTGTACATAGGTTTGCGTTGGTACTTCAACGGCTCTCGGTGGAATTACACATCAAGATCGTCCCACCTGCTAAAGTTGTTTAAACTAAGACCTTTTGTATTCTTACCAGAGAATTTTTGTTTGCCAAATTAGAACACTTGTCTTGGGGGGGCTTATTAATCATGTCGTTTGATTTGTGGAAATACATCAGTTACTCGATTTTGGCAAGGAGCCATGATGGTTTGTGGTTCTCTTTGGAAAAAATGTCCCAATTTTCTGCTATAGTTGGACCACTTTTAAAAAGCAACCTTGTGAGCCAGCAGCAAGCATTCCTCTATGTCAGCGATCCACAAGGCACTAGAGCTACCATCGGAAGCACCACGACCCTAGCCTGTCGAGTCGGCTGGCGAGACGCGCTCGGACGCGCCTGGAATGGGCCAACTCCGCCAGTCCAAGTCCAGTGGATAATCAATGGATTTGGGTATCGATCAGATCTACTCAGTTCCAGCTTCCAGGGAAGAGTGGAACTCCACAGTAATTCTTCCAGAGGTTAGTCGGAGAGACAAGATCTCCTAGGCAACGATTAGGGACTGTGTTTGATGCAGTGTCTCGGGTTTTCGGCGGTCGATTCGTTTTGTTCTGTTTTTCTTTTGAGTTACAGGTATTTTCGACTTGATTATCCACAGTGTCCATGCTGAAGACGAAGGCCTATACGCCTGTCAGGCGCAAATCTTGTACCACAACCTGCCAAACAGTGAAAACGCCACCGCGTTACTACCTGCTGGTGTGACTGGCATGATGTTTGTCCGAAGCAAAGAGGTCAAACTAGTGGTCATTTGTAAGTTGGACAAAGTTTTAAAAATTTGGTTGATTCAGGAAATTCACACCAGCAACAGGTGGACGATGCTCAAAATGAAAGTTTAACACAACCAGTTTGTAAATCGTGGAAGTCACGTAGAATAAAGCCATTGCCTACATAGGGATTGTTTGCGCTGCGTTACTACGACTTGTTGCGTTCGTTGCTGTAGCGTATAGCGCCAGGGATTAAGGGGCTATAAAGAGACAGCACAAGACACCAAAAATTGCGCAATCTCCACACCAGACTGACATAATCGCGATGCGTGTTTTCCCTCAAGATCCCCCCTTGCGGTTTGGTCTATTTGGTGGAGAGTTGCTGACGCCAGACCTGCCCCCAATGCCAATCTCCCAAGGTTTCGTGCAATTTGCAAAACCGACGTTTTTTACGTGCGCAAGTGAAGCGTCACGGCCGGCCGCGGTGCTAGAATTAGCCGTCAATGCAACTCCTCTTGCCGTAGCCGGAGTCGAGTCAACTAGATGCGCATCAGAAAGCGGAGAAGGGCAGTGGTGTGCTAAAAGTTTGTTAACTTTTCAATTTCCTGCCTTCGATGTCACCGTAGCAAAGTACACCTCCAGTGTCTGCCCCGGTAACGCGCATCGCCTGTGCGTTGCAGTGTTCATTTTAGCCCCACAAAAAATCGATAATGCTTAGTCATGTAGGCGGTTTTCATCTCTTACAGCGGGTCTGTTCGATTGATTGTGGGATTTTCCCTGAAGCAGGCCATCTCGACAGCCATCATCTTGAGATGCCACATTAAAAATGCACATGAATTTCATGAAACACAATTTCGGACTTCAGCCCAAGCAATAATTCGGCTTCATGGTAAGCTATGCTAAATACATGCATCGCATTCACGGTTGATTGCGAAATCAGAAAATGCAAGAATTCATTCCGGCAGTATGCAGGAAATGCCTTAGTCGGGGATGAAGTTCGCTTCCCACACAATGGCCTGCGCGCGCACACACATAGCCACACACAACTGAGTTGATTAAACACATTTGTAACACTTTCACACTGGCTGGTAACACTCAAAACGAAAAGCTTCATTTAGACATCATCCACTATCCCGTATTTTGGAGCAAAAGTTTTGTACAAATGAAACCGCTGCCCGTTCATTACGGTGCGGGGTTACAGATCTTGATAACAGAGGTAATAAAAAAACATTAACTAAACCTGTGCGATAGTTTTCCACCGATCTATTCTCAACAGGATTATTCCGATTCCCCAAATGGACTATTTTCTGGATAAGCAAGACGGCAGGATTACGCGAAATCATGTAATCTGATTTACGGAGGCCAGATTACGACGCTCAGATTCCACTGTACTTAGACAATTAACTTTCTTGGGTTGGTTAAAACAGAAATGGTTGCAGCCAAACTGTCTCCAGGTCTGATGCACGGGTGTTCTCGTAAATTGCTAGACATTCGAAATGTAAGCATTATTCCCATTTCTTCGGTGGACGGATTTGGCGACGCATCTACGGCCAACTTTCGATGCATGGGCTTCATCTCCCGACTGCCCCACCAACGCATAACTCTCAGGTTAGCCATTAACATGTTCAGTCGGGCTCTTAGTGAGTCCTCATTTGATTTAATACCAAGTTTTTCGCGCCAGCTAATAGAATCTGAACACTTCTAGGGTCATGGCTGTGTGCTAATGTGAGCACTTATTTATAGTGTATTATTGACGCAACATATTGGCATTGACCAATGATATTGTAATTTTCTAAAATTCCATCCGTTGATTGGTAAGATATGAACCAATGGAATGTCAGTCGTCGAAGTCCTAGTTGAACCCTTGGTGAAAACTCAATTAGTACTCAACGGTTTCTGTTCTGCCAGTAGTAGTATTCATGGGAATTCCGTAACGAAAATGTAAAATTCCCGCATTGCCATGTAGTGTTCTTTTCGACTAGTTTCATTCACGTAGGTTTGCTTTGATTGACATCGGCACTGAAAATTGGGAGATAATTGTGTAATCCGCGAGACAAGCTGTATCTATTAGATCTGGCCTACACGAGGAGCCACAAAACGCCCTGATATTATTGAATTATTTTTAGAAAACTAGGTTTCGATGCATACTGGACCTTTCTAAAACTCCTTAAATTGAACAGTTCTATAACGCGCTGCACGACGAGTCCGGATTTTGTTACATTTTAGAAACACAGGCCCGTGAAAATTGAAAAAGGCAACCCCACAACGCCAGAAAATAATACAATCGTTTTTAGCGCATTTAGTTTTGAGTGAAACCAAAAAAAAACACGTCTGGAAGTTGTGTGGTCGACGCATATGAGTGGACAGATTTACTGCAAGTTGATTGGTGCCTGTGACTCACAATCGCTGTTTGTTGGTTCCATTTCACAAATAAATGAGTGTACACTACACCACTTGCCGTGGCTCGTGTTTGTTCAATCGTGAGACTTATATGTGTAAATCCTTTCTTTCTCTTAAAAATACTCAGTCTTGATTTTAGAGTCAAATTAGGCGCTGCAGAAAAGGATGAGAGGAAATCGAGGGAATAAAGTAGACTAACGTCTGACCTTGCGAGGGTGTTACGTTTGTTTAAACAACTGAATTTCTCTACTGCCTTTTATCTGCTCTTGAGTGGGTAACTGAGTTAACAGGAGGGTAGTCGTGGAAATAAATTTAGTATTCTCAACAGCTTGGTTACTTTTAACAGTAGATTGTGGTGACTAGTAGTATGAAAATCATTCAGATTGCAGGGAAATTTTTAAAGTCAAATGGAGGTATGGTGGGCAGTCGTGATACCATTTTTCAAGAGTTTAATGCTTTTACGCACAGATGGAATATTGAGAGAACTCGGATGGATAAAGTGCCCAAACTCTACCTGCAAGACGGAGGCACGTTGAGTCGATTCTACTCGGATTTGGAGTTGCAACAAACGCGAGCGGGCATTGCCTCAGTTCTTCGTTGTACGGTGATGTCAGAGGCGACGGTTTTCCCCTACCAGGATGCCAACTCCAATTTCCAAGTTGTCTCTAAGTCAAAGGAAATTAAAATTGACCTGTCTAGTAAGTTTGCAGATCGTGATAGGTGCTCGATTTGTGTGGATGGCAGTAGTATCGAAAAGGCTTCATCTTTCAACGCTAGACAAAGTGTTACCTTGACCCTCCAATACTTGCAATGTAAAGAAGTCCGTTTAAAAATAAGTAAGGAGTTTAAGAACTTGCAAACCGCTAAGAGGGAGTTACGTGAAATGATGGGCAGCCCATTATTGATTATCGAGCAGTTAGAGTAGTGCTATTGTGTGATGCACCTGTCTTTTGACACCCATTGGATGGAGTGATTCATGGAAGATTATCGCAGCCAATCAGCTAATCGGACAGAAGGTGTGAAGTGAAATCGCCAACCAGTTCAAGTGGACAGAAAATTTAGTACGATATTAGATTCTCTGATTATTTCTGAATTCTCCCTTTGGTTTTTCTTGTCTGTCTGAAATGTTAATCCCCAAAAAAATGATTTAACATATGAACTCAGTTTTGTATAGTCGAAGTGATTTGAAAGCAAAAACGCGCTAAAAGCGTATCCTATGTTTACGGAGAAACTTTAAAAATAACGCACATTTAAACAAACCACACAGTACACGACTTTGTTCGACTTAGATACTTGGTTTAAATGTTATGGAGATCAATTCAGAATTCGACGAATCAACCGGCTAGGTAATATCAGAAAACGCTTGTGTCACGTGGATAATTAAAAGCGTCGAAAGTGTTCCTCTGAAGCGGTATTACTTCTAGTAAAGACTGGGAGCACAGAATATGCAGAGAGATTTACCTCGAGCTGATTGGCGTCTTTGATTCACTCATGGTTTTCATTGGTCGTCATCCACATTTCCTCTCTAAACAGGCCCACATGCGCACAACAAGCAGAGACCTTTATTAGCGAGTGGCATAATTTAGATCAGTAGTTCGAAATCTGTGTGTTCTAGTCGCAGGGTGTTCCCTTGTTTTGTCTGCTTAGTGGTAGGGTTTGTTAATTCATCACTAGAATAATAGCAGCGCGGCTGATTTTTAGCAGAAATACATTCTATTGTCTAAAATTCAATTCAGTGATTTTGGTTTCATTAAATGCAGAGGTAGAGTACAATGGCTGCATCCTACTTTCAATCTCTGACCTAAAAAAATGCCAAAAGTGACAAATTCCTCGATGTGCACACGAGAGTTTGTTCAAAATGCATCCCTTTGACTAATTATTGGAGGTAGAGGGGACAGGAATCAACTAGCTGGTGGTATATTTGCAGTCCAACAAACACCAGAACTCGATTGGTGGCCCTTATTGTCGAATGGCTTTGATTGGCTGTTTCTTATTGCAGAGTTTCCCATCCAAGAATCCCGTGAATTTTTGTTGGTGACGCTAGTGACGGTGACAAACACCACAAAACCATTTTCAAAGAAGAATTTGGAAAGTTGTGTGAATTTTACAGCTGGGAAACACGAGTGCCTGAATGTCGTGTGTGAAGATGACTTGATTTTACAAGGCAATTTAGGACTCGAATTCAGTGTAAGTTCTTGAAGGGGAAGATTGTCCTACGTAATTTGTCCAGCTACCACTGATCGATATTTGAACGACTCACAAACGTCGCTCATTGGCCAGGATTTCTTGGTCCGGAAGATTTAAATGTCCCTCCTCATTTCGCATTGGTTAGGAGACGAAAACGACAGCTTATAGACTTTGTTTTCCACGTAAATGTTGAATTTAAATTACAGCTAGCAACGAATTGGTACCGTTTCTGAGCAAGAAACAGGTCAGGTAAGGGCACAACGCGGTAGGGTTGACTATGCGAACTTGTTAACCAATTTTATTGGTTGCATTTTGCCGTGGTGTTGAAACATTTTTTTCCCAACTGTCATTCCTTTAGTGCAGTCATTCCAGGAGTCACCTATTTCCCTCCGAGTGGAGAATCGGCGTTGTCACAGAAGACGAACAAATTTCTTGGTGCACTTTGGATTACGCAGAAAAAATAACCTTGTCGTGGGCAAGCCTCGGGCAAATCGGGCCAACCTCAAACAAAACGCGGGCGTTTTTGTACAAACGGAGCCTTTCACAGAGGCACTACTACACGGGCCCCTGTTCCCCCGCGTTGACCAATCACAGCTCGGTGTGTGATGTGCTTTTGCTTAGCTGTCGTGTGTTTGGAGCGGAAAGTGTGGCAAAAAGTCGCACTTTTTACCTCTTCAATGACGGTAAGATGCTCATTTAAACTATTTTAACCATGGGCATAATATTGCAGATTTAGCAAGGCGCCAATGATTAACGACATTAGTTTACGCTACCATGGTAACAAGGGTCTTAGTTTTTTTTGTTTTTTCGAGGTTACGAAGACTGAAGAAACACTAAAGTAACTAACTTGAGTATGTCACATCGATGTCGGTTTAAGTCAATTTCCGGTCAGAAATTTTCAGTTATTGATTTTTTTCGATTGGAAAGTCGTGGCTTTGGGAAGGCGGAAACGAGTACCGCCAACCAAAAAATATGCATTTGTCAATACACACTTCTGATTTCACGAAAAATTTAATTAAACATTCGAAAGGCGACGCGATTGTAAGTTTCATTCGCCATCTTGAGTCGACGGGATTCGTGTGAATATTTTTCACGACCAGGAAGATCAAATTCAGTTCATCGAAGATGGGTTTGTGCGCAATCCTTGACAGTAGATACAGCGGGCTTTACAAAAACTTGGCAACCCATAGAGATCGCTTGCAAAATTGTTACGCAATGCCAAGTTGAGACCGTTGTTGGCAACCTTCGTTCCGCAATTATGCTGCGTTAACTGACTACGCTGACGTGTCGAACTCGCTGTCATTTGCAAACACTGACCAATCAAATCTCGAAATCGTGGGTGATTTGGGCCCATAATGCTCAGACGACAGCTTGTCAATTTGAAATAAGGAAGTTTAAAATCACACTAATCAACCAAATCAACCGTTTTTCAAATATTTACCACGATTCAAGTCACAAATTAATCTGATTCTTAAGATACCCTACTTTTAAAATAAATAATTTCTGAGCAAACCTACTAAAATTCATACAAGCCGTTCACACAGATTGCAGGTTAAAAATGATTATTCCTGTGACCACAAAATCGATAAAAGCAAATTGCATTGCCTGGAAAGCCAATAAATTGTATAATTTAAAACCATTACTGGCCAATTACTTGACTTGCACTTTAGCAAAATGTTTAATCTGCCTTTATGGGTTAGTGAGTCACCAAATTAATCACACTTGAACCAACACAGTTAGTTACGAAAATTCAAAATAATTTGTGGTTTAAGTAAGGCGATGGTTAATTTATTGCTTTCGGAAATTTGGAATGCTGAAAAATGAGTTATAATCACACATGGAAGGCTAAGAAGAGCAAAGGGATGATGGAAAGTTCTAGCAATAAAAGTAATCTAGGGAGTTAGTCCTTGTTTCCATGACTGATTGTCTGTGATGCTTCATTACCGATTATTAGTGCGGTGTTGCTCCTTGAAACTCGAGCAACAAATGTGCATTTATTTACACTGACACAAAAATCGATATTTCAGACTGACCTTCAAATTTTTGCGGTTCTGCAAGTAGGGTTGTTCTGGGTTTACGTACTATCCGGAGGGAGGCAAGGCATCCACGTCCAAATTCCTGAAATTTTATCAGTGATTCTGGATAATGAACTTGGTCAGGGCTATCTGGTTGATATTTTAGCCTAAGTAACTCTTAGCCAATAGAATGTCTTGATAAATGATTCACAAAACTGGACCTGAATTAATTCGAACACACAAAAACGAACGACCTAAAAATCGATAAGTATTTACATTGAAAATTGGTGGTTGGCTGACTGCCCGATTACCTTTGACTCACTCTATTTACCTAGCTCAAGTATCACAAAACGCGTCAGGTTCAGATTCCAGCAAGGTGTTACACGGAACCACTGCGACGTACCTAGGGGGTCTGACAGCGCAACAATCCACATTTATGCTGCTGTCGCCCTTGATGTTTGCTCTCTTAGTACTGCTACTCATCTGCAAATGGTCTTCTCAAAGATTTTCCCTGGTGAAACCATTTACGTCACTTCTGGCTTGTTGGAATTCTACCACTTCACAGACGATTCCGCTGTTTGAAAGGACCTCCAAAACTGCCAGTTCCGTCTATCTGGACGTCGTTGAGGGTGCAGGCAAGTTTAAATTAGTACCTAAATAGAGAGCGTTGTTGCAAATGCAAAAAGGACGACCCCGGTAATAAACTAACGATCAGGAGTTGCCAATTCTTCATTAAGGCATTTCATTTTAGGCGCAACATTGCCACCTGGGTCAGGCGGAACTAGGGATTGAGCGTGACTGGTGAAACCAGGTCATCGCTTCAAACCAATCAGGAAGATCTTTTTTGTACCAATCAGCTCCTTAATGTGTAATTATTGTTTACATGGAGTAGAACGGAATTCCTGTACATATTCAGCTTTCTGCAAAATTATTGCATTCGTAACACTGATTTTTTTCTGAACAAGACAGGCGTACAAAGAAAATTCCACTTTTGTATGGAGAGAAAAGCCTTTTGATTCGATTCCTGCAATAATGGGGCATTGTTTTGCGCTGTGATTCTTGTCAAGATAGCAACAATGCACTTTGGCTAATGGTTACTTCGTTGTTTTAATGTGATAGCTGTCTTTAAATTGCATCGTAACCACAGCAACCAGTTGAAATCAATAACGACTGGCATCTGGCTACACTCGCAAAGTTATCACCCTCCATTCATCGTTAAATCTTCCTTAACAAGGTGATACATTCAAAGAAGTTATGAGTGCGTGGAATATGCAAATCCTGAAACGAGAAATAACTTAATTCAAATTAGACCACCGAGTACGTAGTTCGAATTTCGATGGTGTGAAGCTGAGGCCGAATGAGAGCATAGTTCTGTCTGGATTATTGGTTGAGACGCGTTAGCAGTGCAGTGGTTTATGGTGGATGGATTTTAAGACTACTTAAACGTAGGTAGTAGACACTCAAAAGTGGACGGCAAATGGAACTGAGTGATCGCAAAAATGTTGGGGCACCGTGTGTCGGCTAATTTGAGATATTTACCTGACATGAGGTATTTCGTGACTGTGCCTAAATTCTGAGAACGGGACAGCTTTATTAGTAGTGCTATACACCACAATAACTAGGACGGCAACTGGAACCTTCCGAATAGCCAATAAATAAGCGCACTGAGCTCGTCTTGGCATTTGATTGGTCGTCCACCTGCCATTGAAGGAGTGACTATTAACTGGGCAATGATTGGTTGAAACCACAGCGCGCCATCTGAGAGACTTCTCGTGAGAACCAATAGCCCGCGAGGCCCAAGTTTTGATGAAACCACGGGATTTCACGGTTGTGGTTCACCAAATGACACCCCACATCCAGTGAGACGACAGTTTTCTCGAATCGCAGGGAAGCACGATCCCTTCGCTCAGCTGTGCACTTCAAGACGTCGGCAAGCTTCCAACAAACGTGTCCAACTGACACTCAACTCCAGTAAGCCATATTCCGCTAACAATGCCTGACTCCAACACCAAAACTCGTCAGGACCAGTTGCGAAGTGTGGTTCAAAAGAAAACAGCACAGGTTGCAATGAACCCCCAACTCAGGTTAAGAGGAGCCTGAGGGGTTACCGACTTCTAGACGCTGTCAAAACCGATCGTCACCGACGCAGACGGCTGTCATTCGATACAAAGAACCTCGAACGCTAACCTCACCCCAGCGTCTATACATTCCACCTATCAAAAGCCCTTCCAGATCTTCGAGGAAAGAAAGAACGCTACTTGAAAGATGTACTGATAAAATACGCGATTCTATAAAAAGCAGACTATTTACAGTATCGGTCAGACTTCATCTTCTCACGTCTAAAACGAGAAAGAAACGATTCGGGGTGAGGCAATGGCATGTGGGAAAAAAGGGGAGGAAATCGGGTTCAATAGAAGGCACGAACCACGAGGTCGGTGCTCTTTACAGCAAGAGACTGATTCCCGCATTCTCTGCGATCGTTTTACCGCACAAATAAAGTCGCCAGCAAAAAAGACTCCTACAGAGTGCTTTGGGAATGTGCTTAACCACAATGCGTTCCACCTCACCGACATTGGTTAAAATCGATTCAATCGGGATTTTAGAATGCATGTGTGGGGCACACTCACCTGTCCAGCATGCACTCGTGCAAGGTGCCGTCACGTTTGGCGCCCTTCAAGGCCGCCGTGTCCTCGCGGGTCAGTCGGATCTTCTTATCTTGCCAACTCTGGAATTTGCGGCTGTGGGGAAAAAAAAGGAAACAGGAAAGGTTGAAATCACACACACAAAGGCGAGCCGATAAAGGAAGGAGGCAGCGGTACAGCTACTAACACCGCTACCAAGCCACACTCGGATGAAGCTGACTAAATACCCAAAGAAACAGATCCAATTCGACACTGGTTGAGGACTGGTGAATAGCTAACATGTACTATTGACATAAAGATGTCAAATAGACTAAGCCGGGTCTTACACATAGAGATATTCAGCCTTTTTGGTGCCGTGTCGCTCCTCTTCTGGTAGGTCGAAGAGGGCGTTGTGAGTAAGATCCTTGTTTGAACGTATCTGAAAAAAAAAGAATACACGGATCCACTCGATATTACTGAAAAGACCACTCTAAATAGGGGCGTCGTTTGGTAGGCTACTAGGCAAATATGTTCACTTACAACAAGCATTTCGGTGTCACCAGCCTTTGGCGCACGACAGATTGCTCGATCCGTGACTGGGTCGGCGGAAATGAAGCAGTTGTTGAAAGAGAGAAGCGCCGTTTTGCCGTCTTGAAAGACAGGCTCAAACTGCTCCCTCGGTCCAATTGCATCGGCTGCGGCCGTTACGAGATTCTGAGCGCCAGTATCGGCAGTCAGGTATTTATCATAGCTGAAAAGTACAACGCTCTCAGCTTAAAGTGCTTATGAAGTTTTGATTGCTCGCTAAGAAATTAGTTGGATATGTAAGGCTGACATTAAAGGAACAGACTATCTCCATAGTAGACAAGTTCCATGAAGAATAATTGATTTTTCTAAACGTTTCAAGCCAAATAAGAACGGAATTCAATGGCCTATCAGTAATGTGTCAGCAGCTGTAGCCCAAGCTTTAATTCCCAAAGCCAGCACTCTGTTGTAGAGTGACGCCATCAAATTGAAAAAGTGGAATTTACAGCCGCCTGAACCCTACCGTGGTGTCCCAGCATGACCTGCCAACAACCTAGTCATTAGCGTTGAAAGTTACTGATTTGGTAATGCAACGTAAAGACATAAAAATGACATCGAATACACGTACCCAGTTTTGAAGGCGACTTTCGTTTCTGAGACCTTGACTGCTGTAAATATTTCCTCCGGTGCAGGAGTCTCGCCCGCCTTTCTAGGAGGACCGAGGTTGATAAAACCGTCATCTGAAGCGGAGAGATAATACGCTGGTGGCAGAGGAGTCGGCTGGTCACTAGTCTCACTGGATGGTGCTTGTGGGGCAAGCCCTGTCATTTGAATCGCAACAGGGCCGATGACGTCACAAAACTTCGAGATACCCCACCAGCCGCCATGAGCCTCTAGGTCTTCTGTGAAGGCGTTTTTCACCACCTTTGCCGCACGAGTTGACTCTGACTTGGACTTGTGCTTTCGCTTCCTCGGTTTGTCCGCATGTCCTTTAAGTTTCAGCTTTCCTGATTTCACACAGGCATATGCGTCCATCTAAGCAAAAACCAAAAAAAAAATTCAACCAAAACCAACTAAATTTACATCAAGGACAATCGACAAAGTCAGGTCATGCCAATGAAAATAAGACGAAATGATGATACGTAAACATGAAACTTTCAACAAATATTCTCCTTTGTCAATTTTGAGAATACTGTCAACGTAATTAACCATTAATATATCAAATTCCGTATTTGGGAAAAGTACCAATTTTTCTTAATTTCATAACATTTAAGAAGAACAATATCTGACGAAGAGAATTCTCCAATGTTCATACAGGCACACAAGTAAATACACAACGCCCAAATAAAAAGCCGCATAGTTAAAATTAAATTTTTAATTACGTTCACGACAAATTTACTTTCAAAAATGTTTTTAACGAACTTTTCCAGCCAATTTAGATGATACTGCAAGCTAAGGATACTTTCAAGATAACACGAACTAATAACACTTAGTGAAACAATTTATTAAGAAAGAGGTTTGTTAGAGAAAACAGCTTTATCAAAAAAGCCATTGATATAATGCATTATAGTAATTATTTTAAATACGCAAACAATCATTTCCAAGGTAAGTTAGTTAATCCTTGCAGAACTATGAATTATAAACTAAAATGCAAAAAATTCCTTGACAACTTAAATACATTGAAATCGGTTACTATCTTTGCCTTTTAAATATTAGTAACAATCATATTTTGCAACGGAGGTTTAATCTTTTTTTGTTATCTTTGGATCTTTAATCTCATGTTTATGTCTAAATCAAAGTGCAGATCTAGACCGTCAGACAGTTAGTTGTACCGAACACAAGCTAAAAAGGAACTATTGCAGTAAACAGATAGCCACTTAGCATGAGTGGTGCATGTTTGATCACCTGATTATACCAAAGTATCAACAAAAATTCTTATTGACTCCAGTTAGGAGGAGCGCACTGCGCCACTTGGTTGCTGTGACACCAATGAACGGTTGTGTTCAAAGTGGCCTTTTTCCCACCTATTTTAGGTTGAAAGGGACCATTAAATAGAAAGTTGCAAGAGAGTGCCATACACAGTTGCCACAGTCTCTCAACATTTCACAAAATTTTTCCTGATACAATAGATTAACTCAAGAAATCAATAATATTTAACAACTTAAATTATTAATAATACTCTTTTTTAATTTTGCATTACTTTTAAAGGCCGAAGAAAAAATGTCGAATTGTGTATTAAAAACGATAAAATCAAATTAGCACGAAAAAATGCATACGTTATAAATAAATAACCTGGAGATAGTCGGCATTTTGGCGATAAGACAAAGCTCTTGTTGCTTAATTAGTTAAAGATGAATGGCGGCATTACAAGCAAAAAATGGCTTCTATTACTTTTATTTTGGTTTTGTCTTAGTTGATTAAGTTCAAACAATTGTAAGATTTGCTATCAATGATCTCGGGTTGAATTGTAAGATGAAACCAGAGCAGCAATGTTTGTAGCTTCTTAACAACAACTAAATATGTAAAGAATCTAAAAACTGATAGCTAATATTGTAATATTTTGTTTTAACTAATCAATAAACTTGGTTTTTTTAAACGGATCTTTTCTGCCTTCTGATTGGCGGCTAGGATATTCTTGTGTTGAATGTTTTGCTGCCTTCCAGGTTAGAGCCGTTACAATGAGCGGAGTGGAAGACATCCATGAATTGATTTGCAGCTGTGTAAAGAAAGAGGGCAATAACATGAACAAGCACCCTGCCGAGGTTTGCTTACTGTATTGTGCACAATTTTTTTCTTTGTAGCTATTTGATAGACACCCCATTACCTTAATGATGGTTGCCGACAACGATATTGGATGCTATCCAAATCTTATAAAAATTTCGAATAACTGGAAGCCAGATTGGTTAAAAGACGGTGTACAAGTTCCTACTCGCGATGATTCTTTATTACCCTCCGCCTGTGTTCAGTAAATTTACAAAGTTTTATTGACCTAATTGATAGGAAAGCAAATCTTCCAGTTGTTAAAAGAAAAAAAGCCTCTTTTCCACTGTAAGCCGCATACCTAATAATATACCTCTAGGCCGGATAAATTAATACGCTGTTCTCGAGATGAATTTTATGCCCCTGCTGTGCATCACGTGTCTAAAAAAGGAATTGGTGCGTTAGTCTGTTACAATCTAGACGATTTGGATTACGCATGGCTTGCGACTGTCAATGAAGAACGTGAATGCCTTTGTGAGGAGAAGGTCCAGGATTGGATGCTGGAAGACGTCATGGAAGCTGCGGAACAAATTTGTTTCATTAAAAGTCGGCTGGATTCTTCTGCGTTGGAAGTTAATAAGAATCCCGAGTTTGATGAAAATGCTCGGTGCGATATCTGTCAATCGGTACTAATGCCTTTTAATTTAACTCAGTTCTTAGTACGATGGAGAGGACGGTAACGAGCTTGTCTTCTGTGATGGTTGTCTTATATGTGTGCACCAGGTATGCGATGTTGTTCATGATTTAGTTTCATTTTCTCGTCAAAGTGATGTCTTAACATTAATATTATCGCCTTGTAGGCCTGCTACGGTGTGCCACATTTGCCAGAGGGATCCTGGCTTTGCAGGCGTTGCGAAATGCAAGCGAAATCAACCACTCCGTGCGCTCTCTGCCCGAATACCGGCGGCGCCATGAAACTCGTAGAGTAAGTTCTTTTTGTTCGATTCTCGTAACAAATTTTACATATCTCTGGGTGTTGTTTTTTAGATCTCTACTTGTTCATTTACCTGTCAGTCATTGACTTTTGCTTAGCATTTTTTTTATTCCGATGGATAATGGAGTTTTGCATTGTTTTCCAGTGACTACAAATCTTGGTGCCACGTGAGCTGTGCCCTTTGGGTTCCTGAGGTGGCATTTGAAGACGTGGAACTCATGGAACCCATCACCAAGCTCACTGATATACCCCAAGCCAGGAAAAACCTCCTGTGCTCGCTTTGCAAAATTCATTGTGGCGCGCCGATTCAATGCTCTGTGAAGAAATGCAAGGTTGCCTTCCACGTGACCTGTGCCTTCCAAAATAACCTCGTCATGATCCAGGAACTCGCGGGCTATGATGTTCGGCTTTTGGTAAGTTTTGAATTTTTTGCGTATGAACTGGCATCCTAGTATTCCTTGATAAATGCAACTTGTTTTCGAAATTACAAGATTATAATCAAACATTGATTCCTCTCATTCTGTCCTAGTGTTTTTCTTCTGTGTTCTACCGATCTCTTGCTCTGCTGTTGATTTTTTCGCTATTTTAGCTATCCAATAAGCACTTAGACGCCATTAGTTAACTTGTCCTTGTTATTATTACAATCAACGAAGATTGTGGGCTTTGTCTTTGGAAATTTTTGTATTCATTCAGTGGTGTACAGTGATGCCTGTTACCTGAATCGTGTTCGTTGCCAACAATTGCAGTTCATGCCAATAAGAATACTAATAGCCTACTCAATCTTAGAATCAGCTTGAAGCCACGGCACAGGACAACAAGCAAATTCTGTGACTGGGGAAAGTCGATTGGGGGGATGACCGGTCTTGTTTGTGAAGACGAACGAATTTGCCAACCCCTTGGGGTCTCTTGTCGTTATTCTCCACTTGCCTGCAATAATTCACACCGCACTAATGACTAGTCCTAATCGGTATGTAGACCGCCCATTTAACCGCAGCTAAGTTCAAACTGAGTTTGTTTGTGTTCGATCCTTTTTAAAGTGTTTTGTTGTAGTCCAGTGACGCTTGAACGCTGGGTAGCTTTTTGCGTGGATTCGTAAACACGTCTGACCTCCAAAATTGTTTTGTTAAAAAAAAGTATATGTGCTTTTATTCTGTATGATAGTTGGATAAATCGCGCCTATTACGAGGCCGTAGCATCATCGTGTCACTTGTAGACGTAGAAGTAGCTTGTGACATTTACTTGACTGCACTAGGGTCTTGCGATCCTCTGGTTGGTGGACGTTCTGTGTGCCTTCGAAATAGCGATTTTATGACCACCAACAGACTGAAGTTCCCGGGGTGTTTTAGCGGTCCCACTTCGTTGTGTCTTGACTAATTCTTAAGCAGCTTTAAGGCATGGACCTCATCTCACTCATAAACGTCATCGCTCATAAGACACAACGTTAAATTCGTCAAAATTCTAGTCAATTTTTTGACATCTTAGAAAAAAATGTCAACTTGATACGGAAGTTGGTAGATCTTATCCAAGCTTAGAATTTCTCCAAAAGCAGGTGATGGAGTAATGGAATATTTTTTTTTGAAGTGCGTTAAACACAACCCCGTGTCTTCTCTGTTATGCTGTCCCTCTGAAATGCTGATGACCACAAAAGCAGTCTTGACAGCCAACACAAAATGACGTGAGGGTCGAACGCCCCAGTAATATAATCGGATTAGTTCATTTTGTGATCTGCTCGTTAACCCTTGTTCCCTTCATTGCGCCTCCCCCCCAACCCAGTTGGATTATCTCACCCGCGGGTCGATTTTATCCCTTTCGTATCTCCAGTTGTCCGCCCAAGTAATTTGCAGGTTTTTGTGGGTCAAGTAGGTAATGCCAAAGCCGCTGGGTTCTAACAACCCAGCACGCATGACGCGTGTCCCCGGTCGGACTGTGTTTAAACAGGCCTAGACAGTAGTTTGGAGGTTGGGCAGTGCGCCACACCTCAGCTACGAGCGACTTTCTCACACACCCAAACCGCCAGCTCGTGCACGCGCCGCCCCGTGAGGTTGTCCTCTTCACACGACAGGAGGCAATTTGTGTGGCGGCCGGTGTGAAACATCTCCAGGGTTTAGTCGAACCACGCATCCCCCCACCCCTCCCCACGCTATTCATTATCACGCGCGCATTTTGGCTGACAGCACCCGGCCATGTCTTTTATAACTGCCACTTGATGTCAAAGATCTCGACGATTTACCCGCTACCGTCGATGGAGCTTGGGTCAAAAAACTTGAGCGTTTGGTGTTTTCGTTGATGGGCAATGTAGTACGAGTTACTTGGGGTTCCGTCCAAGGTATGCTTACCGCGTAACTTGCAGTAAAGTAATGTAGAGGTGGTAATTCCAACCTCGGTTTAAGCTCCGAGTGCGATGAAATCGATGCTATTGTCACCTTCCGCAGTTCGGTGAGTAGTTAAGACTCGATCAGTCGTCTTGTAAAGGAGGGAGGGTCGAGCTGTAGTACTGTTCTTTCATCAGTCATGCTTTTCAGCAGCGGTTGTCAACACAGCCTTTGCTTTCCAATCAATTTGCCACTCTTATTGCAATTTTTCAGGCACACTGCACGAGACACAGCAGCAAGGAATACCAATCGCGCTTGTCGTTGCTCCGCACCCCGAAAAAGGAAATTGATCAGAAGGACCAGGCCAACTGCACCTTCACCTCTCCGCTCTCACCCAATACGCCCATTAAAAAGGAATCTCCGGACAAACAGGCAGATTTTTCTGGCCAGTAAGCTCTGTTCGCAGAATTGTCCAATGTGATCTTAGTGTTTCGGTTAATCAGTCACACTAACGCACAACGCCGGGGGAAGAATTGACGTGTTCATTGGGTTTGCTGACGGTCACCGAGCCGATATCCGAGTTCGGATTTACGCCTAGACCTGTTCTCTCTCAATATTTAACATGAGGCTTGGCAGAAAAGCACCTTATGAAATCCTGTATTTCCTCTCTGTGTTATTGCGTGATTGTTGGTGGTCTCAACTCGAAATTGTAAATCTCTTGTAGATTGGATGGTCCAAGCGCCAACTTCTATCACCATGTCTCTTTAAGTGACGTGACAGCTCTTCTGAAAAGGTGGTCGCGGCAGCGCAATTCCAAGCGGAAAAGCGATCAGCACGACTGCGGTTTTTCTGAAGGCGGTCGATGCATACCTCGCGACATCATTGAACTGCTGCTGACATACTGGCGCCTCAAACGACGGTCCAACTTCAATCAGCCCTTGGTTGAGGTTCCAGAACAGTGGATGACTGCCACCCTACCGGCGAAATCGCCAAGTGAAGTGGCAGCTGAAACCTCCGCCGAGGTTGTCAACCGCTGCAAGCACATCCGGTTCGGTCTGGATCGCGCTCGTTTAATACTGGACATGGTATTAACACGGGAAAAGAAGAAGCGTGCTCTCCTACGCACGATGAAGGCCGTGTCGCGAACCCAGTTGGATTGCTTGATAAATGACCCCGATACTGTACTCTCTGACGAGGTGTTCGCGACCGCACATCGGGGTTCGTCGGTGTACGAGAACCACGCTTTATTGCAAACAAGCGTTGAGCCGCGGGACGAACAAGCCTACTTGGAGAATTCAAACTCATCCAAAAAACAGAAGCCTACCGGTGAAAAGCGCAGTGGTTACATCGTGACAGGCAATCCAGTCGTTGATGACCTGCTTCCCGAACAGCTGATTGTAAGCGAAGACATCCTTACTCGACTGCGGTCTGTGTTTTCCAAGAAGGCCAACAAACGGAAGCGTAACCCACTGACTGGCAAACAAGTGATGATGACTGGTGGTAAATTGGTGCTTAGCAGACGTCAGGCGAAATCGCCAATCGCCTCCACTCCTACACCGCCTTCGATGAGTGCAAACTCAGTTCACGACACTAGCCCACTAACCCGGCGAGATGTCTTGTCGTCGACCAAACTGCACCCCGGCAGACCACCTATCTGGAAGCAGCAAAAGCTTGGCTCTTTTGTCCGTCTTCCTGTGGGCGGTACGGCCCGTGGCCAGCGCCGTGCACTCAGCACAGTTCAGCACAACGACGAGGAACTTCGGCCGTCAAAACGGATGAAATTAGAGAGTGAGAACGGCCTGCAAAACTTTAGCGAAAAGCCATCTTTAAACCTAGCCGCCAACTGCTGGTAATCGAAGAGTCCTGTATGTGTACATATAATTTTAGCGAGATCTCACCGTATAACTTGTCTGTACATAAAACGCCTGTGAATAAGAGGCCATTTTATCACTCCATTGAATTTTAACTTCTGTTGCAGGGTTGTGGGGGCTAATAAAAAGTGACTCATTTTCATAGTGAAGTGCGGACAAGTTTGGAATGCCGCTTACGAGAACCTAAGAAGGAATGGCTGATGCTTGTAGATGGAGAATTGAGTCGGGGACTGCCGCCATGGCGGAACTAGTACATTTCACAAAATTTAGTCGAGTATGGGGTTCGAGGACAGCTTCCCAGTTCTTCTGGAAGTGGAATAGTTGTGGTAAAGCGAGGAAATTATTGTCATCCCAAACAATTGTACGTAGTCCAAATCAAATAGCTACTAGTGGTGACGATGTTCTTCCAACTAAGGCGGTGATCGTGATTTGGTAATTTTGTATATAGAGAACCGGAACACGGGAGTCGGTGAAATGTTTAAATTAGAGGATGACCCTTACAACAAAGGTGACAAATTAAACTGGCGTAATGACGGTTACGCGAAGTATCAACGCAGAGGGAACGTAGTGGGACGTATGACTGGGACTAGGCAACATCCCTGGTGTACAATAATATCTGCCAGGAACGAAACATGACAATTAAGTAGAAAGAAAATTAGGGGCATTCTGTCAAATGACGTGAGTTGTTTTATTTGGAGCCCGCAATGGAATGAATCCATTAACAGGTAAAAATACAATGCACAATAAGGCCAATCCAAAGCATGGCAACAAAAAATGAAAAATTGCAATCACATAGAGTAAATTTAGCTTTTTAAAACCCTTTCCAGTTCAGCAACGCAATCACGAACCAGGATACGTGCGGAGTGGATATTTTTCTTTAGTCTCTCAGCTGCGTTCTTATTATTGACATACGTAGGCTTTATGTCACGTCCCATCTCGTCGATAACTTGTAGAAGATGGGCGTACTTCGTTAGACCATCAACGCAGGGTTGTTGATTTGGAATTACTGGAATCGGAGTACTCGGCAGACCGGACATCCCAAAGGGGCTGAGTGAAGTGACGAACGGAGAGCAGACATGATGGGTCACGCCGAGCTCAGCCAATCACCTGTTTCCTAGTGTTTGAATTGCTTAAATTGAATATCAGCGGCCAACTAGAGAAATGAAGGAAAGACAACCCCTTTCAAACAATCAATTTGATGCGCTTGGCACATTGTCATGTGTTTTGCATGTCTAATAAGGCTTTGGAGAACATCCGTACAGGAAATTTAAGGCGTCAGAAAAAAACAGCTATTAGGTTGCATTGTGAAAGTGCAAAAGGATTTTTTATTAAAAAATAGAAATCTAAAATAAATTCAGATTTTTGTCATGTTGCTACAGATTAACCATGAGCTGAAAATCCATTTTTTTAATAAAAAAATCTGCCTGTAGATGCTACGCAGCCTCTGAATTTGTCACCGCTGCTTCTACAAATTTATTTAACTGATGGATTTACAGTGTCCTTCATGATCATATGTTAATTTTAATAATGTTTATCGTCTATAATTTTAGAAACACAATTGCTGTTTCATAATCAATGAACCGTTATGAATTTTTTTAATGCATTCTTAGTATCAATTTTACATGTCGCTTAAATGTGGCTTTTTCAAAAATATTTTAAGTTAACGTGCCTTCCTATCATATTTTTTGGTACATTATAATTGTTTGCCAGTGACACACAGAAAAATTTAGCATAAACAAACTCTTTTCCATGTGACCTCAGGACCTTTTTTGACTCGTATTATATGTCCTAATCGCACGAATAACTATAATTTGTGAAAAAAATTAGTTGGGTGCGTCAAGTAGATTATAAAACTGGTTTTGCACTGCCTTTTAATTTTATGCTTAGTTTGATAAACTGATAAGTGTGAAAATGGGCATAGTCATTTGACAAGGCTTTCTGATTTCTTTTTAAACCGATTTAGTGACTTTTTGTTATGTTGACTATTTTCTGGAATTCAGGATTCAGGAGTGATAATGTCTTTAAAAATGATGACTTGTCGTTAACTGTATTTAATGGTAGTTTTGAAGCTTTGATCATAATTCCTTGTTTAATTTGTATTTTCCTTTTAGAATTATCTGGACACTTTGCTAATGTGGTGCTGAGTTGCCGACTTAATTACTTTTAGTTAATTTAATTTTCAATAATGTTTTGATAATTCATACCTTATGCATATTTTGGTACATATTGAACGACTGTCTCCTCTTACAAGAATTTTAATTTAAGCTGTCAACTGCAGCGTGGGTAGAAATGTCCGTGTCACGATTTTTTGCCGAATTGCATTTTTAGTGGTGCCGCTGGTCTCGTATTCTTTACAAATACTGTTGTTAAATGGGCAGAGCAAACTTGATATTTTAACGTATCCGTTAAAATGTCTTCTTTTTAATTAAGCACAGGCCCATTTCCTTTAAAGTAGACCAGATACTCACAGCTGAGTACTAATTTAGGAAAAAACGGTTTTATTCTAAGTCTTATGATAATGGCTTTAATAAGGTTATTAATTTTTGGCTTTTTCATACATATGTCTTTCGGTTTTTAACCAACATCAGTACATTGAATACTTTAAGCTGCCGAAATGCAACGATGTCACACTTACTCACCTGACTATTGATTGATTTAGACTACTTTTTCCTTTAGGCCAAAAGTATGTTCGCCATCCCAAACGGTAATGAAAAGCAAATGTCTATCAATACCCCAAGTTTACATAACGGTGCGACTAACTACCCACGCGTTTATTCCAACAAGTGGATGCCACCGCAAAACCAAACCCCAGCCAGGGTGCCACCGCCTAAGGCCAAGTTCACTATCAAGAAGGACGTTAAGATTAGTCAAAGCCAGTACAATCAAACTGACACTCCCGTGCATGGGACCCAATTCGGCAACATATTTAGGTCCACTTCAACCCAAAAAACTTTGGAGATGTCAAGCGCAGGGCTTCGTGTATTCTCAGTTCCAGTACGACGTATTCGAGGCCTTACTCCGATGCTAAATAAGCTGGAAAATTGTCCGTACATTTTCGAGACTGTTGGTACGATTGTCGAATCAGATGAGACGCCGTCTCTTTCGCATAGTGTGGCTTTTTACCTCGAAGAACTGGCCAATAAGTCCCGCGGTGTGCAACTCAAGTGCAATTTTTCTGACATCGACGGAATCCATCCAGAGATTTACTATGGTCGGATCTACAGGTTTGTCCTTTCAATTCCTGCTTTTGCAATTTAATTTGGTGCCATCGTATTGGTTGGTCGTAAATGTCTTTGCAGGTTGGAAGTAATTTTTTAATGTTTAATTGTCATATGCCAGTAGAGTGCAGCATTAACAGTTGAGCCCTTGACGACATTCTGCTACGACACTGGCTAACGAATGCACAGTTTAGGCATTTTAAAATGTTTCCAAAGTGGCAAAATTTATTGATATAACCTAAAATTTCTGCAATTTCACAAAATCTCAAAAGTAAGACTTCACATAACCTAATTTTAACAAATAGTGGCAAAAGTCGGGGGTAGATGAGGAAATTTGTACGGATTTGCATGAACACAGCAAGATGTTCATCAAGAAACCAGTCTCAAGCAATTATCACAGAAAGATTGCTTTCAGCTTTTATTGAGATTAAAAATACTTAGATTGCAAAACAAATTCACCTAATTAATTTGAAGATTTACATACTTGTATTTTGCAGGTGCGTCGGAAAATTTTCGACGATCAAAGGCACCTTCCAGTGCTACTCGATAACACCTTGTGATGACGACGAGTTGAAACTGCAGGAGATACTCCAAATGCACTCCGACAACGCCATCACCCAGCTGCTGCCACGTACATAGACCACGTTTCACTGGTGCATTTTGTACTTTGTAATACAGAACTTTTGTAGTTTTTACCTTACCCCTGATTGCGGCGACGTCATCACTTACGAAAGAGTCGAAATACGAAAACGGTTCGCGATTGACCAACGACAAGGGAATCCATTTTGATGGTGGTGAAGTGTTGTGTTTAGGGAATGATCTCATCATTCTGCCGTTGCTTTTCTTGACAGTTTGACGTGTTTTGCTTTTTAACCCGAGTGTCAGGCTGACACAGATCTGCACTCCCGACAGCGCTCGCGCTGTTGAAGACACAGAAACTTGAGCGGTCTACAGAGAAGGACAGCGTCCACGGACTCACTTCAACGTGGACGACTTGTACGCGAGGTTTCGGAACAGAATGTGGACGCTAGACCATGTGCCGGCGAAGTAGATTAATTTGGCATCATCTGGTGTTAATGGAGAGGGTTCAAAAGATGAAAACGTGGTTATCGCCTGGATCAGCACAAAACCGAACGACGCTTCCCAATTACGGTTGACACAAATCATGCTTCTGCTATCGCCTTGTTACTGGTACCACGCAAATTTTAATACCAGTCAAAAAAGATCTGTGGTGGTGGTGGTGTAAGACCAGACATTGCCAGTCTACGTTCCTAGCAAAGCTGGGCCGCTGGATTAAAATTAGCAATTTAATGCGTTCTCAGATGTCTTGGAAGGACAGCTGACTTCAGAGCAAAATTGGTCGTTTGGATTTTGGCGCAACTCCGAGTTAAACACGTTTTAGAGGAGGGAAATACGAATAAGTTGCAGGGAGCTTGAAAAACGACGCCGGTTCACAAGTGAGTAAATGATGACAATTCAAGAGTTCACGAATGGACAATTTAAACATGGATTAAACAACCGTTCGCCTTTAAATAGTACAACAACAACTCCCGACTAATGACTAGCGATCTCTGTTAGAAATTTTATTTACAAATACAAAATGCTCATCCTGCCTCGTTACGCGGCCTGATCGGGTGCGTGAGGTCTACCGAAATCCACCGCTGTGAGCGGCTGAAAGGCCTCGTTGGAATCCTGGCGTTTGACGAAAACGCGATCCGGTCGGGCGAAGACACCCTCCGCGAGCCAACGCCTCACGTCCGCCTCCACGAAGGGGCCCTCCACCTCCGTGTCGGCGTCGGCACCGCCCTTCTTCATTATCCACTTCGGTGCGTCATTGTCGGCGGCGTCATCGTCGTGGTCGCTTCCGTCACCATCTGCCAACACACACAACACAGTCTGTCAACTCAGTTGGGCAATGTGATCTACGATCTGTTCCACGATCTACCCGATTTCAACTCCACCATTTCCTGTTCTATCGACCATTCAAAACCTATTGATTAAACGTCACCAACAGTCGCTACTCCCTACTCCATGTACGCCTGTGATCTACGAAAGACACCAGGGCAACTACACAACCGATTTCACGCATGGTGCAAGTTTTACGGGAGTGACAGTGATCGAGAAATGATCATTGAAAGCACGAAATGCACACCCACTTGAGGGTTCGAACCCAGCTCCGTCGTCGATTGCAGCACCGAGAGCGTCCAGTTCACTCTCCTCGTTCTTCTTTGTCCGGGACGCCACGAGGTCCTCAATGACCTCCCTGGTCTTCTGGTAGATGTCGAAGTCTCCGCCGCCCAGCAGGTCGTTAGCTAGCTCGGTCAGTTTGGCAAAGCCTGCTGGGTCGCCACTAGGGAATAAGAAACACACAGACATTGAGAAGCACATACTGTGGTGATGCGCTGCGACAATTCGCCAACATCTACATCAAGTTAGGTGAAAAAAACGAGTAGGCACACCCAATAATATGGTAGAGGGATTTTTTAATGCCGGTTGATCAGCATTAAAATCTACTCAATAAAATGCTATCTTGGTGTTCCGCCAACGAATTAACTAGACGACGGATCTCATGTTGGCCTGGAAACCCACTTATTAAGTCTACGATCCCCGCAGCTACTTGAGCCAGTTTTTTTTCAAAACTTCAACCGTTTTGTTCATCTGCCAATTTTGATTTGTATGTCGTCTGATCGTTGTAAAAACAATCTTACACGGACCCTCAATTTAGCATGAAATGTCACCAGATTGGTGAAAATGTTTGGGAGTTGATCGTCTCAAATCTGCGCCGTTGTTTCATCACTTCTTCCATCCTACCTAGCAAGGGCCTGCTTTTGCCTAGTTGTGTTTGATACACTTGTGTACTCTTAACGTTCATTTTTTATTTAAAAAAAACAACACTAAAGGTGATAAGAGTGGATTGTCCGCAATGACATCGACCGAAAACGACCATGGATGGAACATGGCGAGCCACCTCAAACCATATTAGAATCTAAACTACATCAAAAAAGATATAAGCTGTCACCTTGGTGGTCTAGACAAGGAAATGCACCGATAACTTGTGGAAGATGAGTGACGCAGATTGCCCAGATCTTAGACCATCAAACTGTGATGTATGTCGATGTTTGCAAAACCTTGTTTTTAGAAGCCCGAAATTTCCGAGAGGGTCGACACAGCGATCTTTAAGGACATCAGTACTGACCTAACTCCTAAAAATTACTTCTGGAGCAGAGCAGAAATGCGCGGACACACTGCAAAAAAAGTAAGTTTTGCAAAAAAAACTTGAGAGGCGGAGAGCAGATGATGACGATCGTGGACATTTGATCTCTTGCTGTAATCTGATTGGAAATTGACAGACCAATGAGATTCGGGCATTTACATAGGGACTAGAGATCGGCTAGACGAATCAAGGCGATTCTAGTTGTAGATTAAAGATGTAGAAGCAAAATGAAGCGATCACTCACCCAACAGGATCAGGTTCCTTGTTTGTGACCGTGGTACCGTCCCTTCTGCGAGTCCAGTTGCGTCGTTGAGGTCCGGCGCCTCTGGCACCCTTTGTAGGGCCCATGCGCTTGAGTCCACGCAGCACCGTCTCCTTCGGTAGCAGTAGCTCACACACCTCACGATAGAGGCTGGTCTGCTGATCATCGGTGATCTCCGGCAGAGCTTCGTTCACGGCCTCAAGGTTCACAGGCAGCTTGCGCGCCTCGTCTTCGCGTCGACGCACCTCGGTCCAGTCCACATCTTCCAACCAATTGTCGCCAGTTTCATTCGTCTGAACGGATGCAGTTGACATTTAATTAAAATATAGAAACACCTGACTTCGTCAAGGCGTTAATAACTGAAGGAATCACGTGAAGGATGCAATTTGATGGCTACTGTGAATGCTTTTTTAGTGCATCATCAGTCCAACTAAGAAAATCCTTGCATTTTCACGTGCTTATGAAGTTTTTGTGGTATGTGTGATTGACAGGTACAGACGCTGGTTCGTCACGAAGACGCGCCTATGCGCTTGCCAAGTGTGGTAATATTTAAAACAGTCACCGACTGACCTGTGAAGTGAGAATTGATACTATGGGGAGCTACTAGCCAAATTTACCACTAAGAATGTTGAAAGAACACATCTAGTAGCAATTCCAACCAGTTATTGGCTAAAGAGAACACGATCATAGGTCCATCGAAAATGACCCGATAAAAGCACTCTTGCCAGATAGGAAGAAATAGGTGACGAAAAAACAGCGTAGATTTGAGGCGGTCAACTTCCAAACATTTTACCAATCTGGCGACTTGTCACTGCTGTTTAAATAATGCAACAAAAAGTCAGCCTTCGAAGTTTCAGCCACATCGGGCTTAAGTAGACTAGAGGGCTGGTGAAAGGCTGTTTTTACAAAGATCAGTCGACATAAAAACTAAAATTGGAAGACGAACGAACCGATTAAATTCTTGAAAGCCAAAGTGAGGACTGCCACCTAGCTAACGCGTTGTCGGAAGACCAAGATAACAAACCTTAGCCTTAAGATTTGGCCATCTTGAATAGGATTTCAGGTTAAATCGAAGCTTAGTGAGTAAAATCGACGTATTTATTTGATTTACAAAATTGTATGGTAAAAACCAAATTTTGAAAAGCTACAGGGGACTGGGATCACATAAAAAGATCAAGTAAATATGCGCGTCGTAACATTCATTAAGTAGACTTGAAAAAAGCAATCAAAACAAACCAGAACATACTTTCTTGAAAATGAATGTACCACTGGCATCGAAATGGCCATCATCTTCTAACTCTTCACGCATATTGAATGGGGTTATTCGGACGTCACCATCATATCCAATTGTATCAGGCTCTTGGCCAACTAAATATTGACGAAAAATAAACCATTCATTGATGAAAAAGTATATTCCAAGTGAGGTTACATGTACGCCACTAGTTCTACTTGTTAATGATGAAAGACACATGGAAGGGGCAGTGTGCATAAGAGTTTTGTTTACTGTATGAAAATAGGATTCTGAGTATTAAACGTCTTTGAAACCTCAAAATCACCACCCAGGTAGCCAATTAAATTGGACCTGACGAAAAAACAAGGAGCAAGTTGGTGAGTAGGGACGACCCTTGACGAGGTCAATAAATTGTAACAGCACATAAAAAATCGCGCAACGCCGAAGACTACATACACTTGCTTAATGAAAACCCCTGTGGCCGTTCCAAAAAAACGTAAGCTTGACGTTAGCAGTGGGACAATTTACAAACTAATTAACAGAGAACCTTGCAATTCAGCCTCATCCATTCGACCACCCTTCTCATCTTCGTCAACTTCTTCATCACTTTCTAGGGTGTTTTTAGAAACTTTTTCTTGTTCGGAAACTCCATCTTCATCTTTTTCGAAGGCTTCAGCCTGTCGTTTCATAGCCACCAATCAAATCACTAAAAACGTTGTGAATTGATGTATTCATATCGCGCGGGTTTCAAGCCTGCGTTAGTCTATTCGTTCACAAATATTAGTTCCTAATTCTACTATTTTGCAACACCAGATCTTAACTATATTAAAAACGCTCACATTAGTGTCGGCGAACTTAGTAAAAAAATTCCGTTCTAGTTTATTTTAATATGCACGATATCTCTTATTGAATCATTTTAGAACAATTTCCGTTTCGTAGTATACAGGCTTTCATGATTATTAGTTTCAACATTTTGACTATACGGATAGAATGAGACAGCATTTAGCGTTTCTGTTTTCACATGAAGATCTGACATGATAATAATTCACCAAAATGGATTTTTGTTATTACAAATAAGTTGGATAATTTTGCTCAAGCGTTAACGTACTCTTATATAATAAATATATTCCAGATATTTTTGTAGTTACCATAAGCATTTCATTATGAAGTTTACAATTTAGCATCCTCTTCGGGTAAATCTTGTAAAAATAATCTTGTGCTATCTACATTTTCACAAAGCTTATTATGACGTTTTAAATTTATTCCACGCTGCCCTCCTTGACATGGAATCATCATTTTGCGATTTCGACGAACGCAGTTAAAAAGTGTGATTTTTTCGATGTTGGTTCTGCAAATTCTTAACCCTAGATTATTTTTGGTCGGTAAGCCACGACCTTAATTCCTTTTCCTAAAAGCTAGTTGTTCATCTGTTTGTGGCGAGCAGCAAGTGAGCACAGTTAGCAGTCGCGAGCGAACACGATTCAATCAAATTTTTCGTGATTGCACTATGGAGAGGCAGCCACAGCACGTTAGTGATGCTTGCATGCTTGCCCGACTGTGCAAATGGCTCACTTTATTGATATTAGCTCCTACTTCGTCCGCTTATTGACACGCACATAAAAAGTTACTTGACTTGAATTGGCTGTGGTAACCCTAAGAAAACGGTCGTGTTCTCTGTCGTCTCTTTTACACTTCTTCTAAGGCTGTTCAGGTGGTGACTAGAGGATTGTGTGCTAGTGCTAATCTCGCTCATTACAGGTTTGTGTTTTTCCACAAAACGTCCTGCACGTTTTAAGATTACAGTTCCCAAGATAAATGTGATTCAACTCAAATATTCATCTGCAAATCCTTTGAAGCTGGACTGACACTCAAGTAATGTGAATACGTAAATATATACCAAGAAAACAAGACAAAGTCTAGAAGATATGTGGTAACTAAAAATAGTTCGTCTACTCGAATAAATAACATGCCGAAATGTTGGGGATATTGAATTGACACTAATTTCCCCTTTGGATAAAAAATGCCGTATTCAAAGCTTACTACCAGGCTTTTCCTTTCGTAATTTTTTGTGTGATGAAATCAACTTTTTTTAATGCGGAATTGCTTGACTTAGTTTTAGTTAGTACGACAAATGTTTTCATTGATCAACCCGAGTTTACCTCACCACTTTTTATTGAATTTTTGGTAGCAGTTTTTAGGTTGCTGTTAAGCGTTCTGATGAACTTTGTGGATAAACATCTTACCGGCGATTGTGTTCCTAATTTACATACCTACCACTTGTAAGTTAAACGTTGAGAATTTGTAAATTGCAACGGTCAGTAATGAACAATGTACACTTCCACATGCTACAAAAAAGTAGTTGAGGTTAGGAGTTGCAATAGAGTGATGAATGATTTAGTAGTCTAAATATTCAGCAAATTTAAGAAGTTAAAACACCCAGTAGGATACCTTTTAGCCGACTCACCCAAAGTACAGGATGTTGAGAATATGAACTATTATAACTTAACAAATATTGTTACCATGTAATTTTTTATAAACAAAATCTTTCTTAAAAGTATTTTTAAAAAATTTTAATGGATACACCAACGTTTGGGTATTTCAACACGGTCTCTACATTCTGCGAGTTTCTAGCCTACTTGTTCATTGCGAGGCTACCAGCCTGTTATCTCAAAGATGAATTCGTCTGATCAGCCGGCGTGCGTAACTCTTGAAACAGGGTAGGTTTTGTTGTCCTATTTAGTGATTATAGTATAGTCAGGGGCCTATAGTAATTGAACTTTACTGGAAACATGCTCCGCGAACCTGCAAAAATTTTGCTGAACTAGCCAAGCGTGACTATTACAACGGAGTCCCTTTTCATCGTGTTATCCGCGATTTCATGATCCAGGGAGGTGATCCTACGGGCACTGGTCGAGGTGGTGCCTCCATTTATGGGCGCTATTTTGAAGATGAGATAAGTCCAGATCTGAAGCACACCGGTAAGTCTCAATTATTTTTTTATCTCTAGGCGCTGGAATAATATCAATGGCAAACTCCGGGCCAAATACAAACGGAAGCCAGTTCTTTATTACTTTGGCTCCAACGCAGTGGCTCGATGGCAAGCACACAATATTTGGACGAGTCAAGTCTGGAATGCAAGTTGTGAAGCGCCTTGGCATGATCGAGACGGATCCTACCGACAGGCCGATTGAGCCCATTGTTATCAAGCGGGCTTACCCGACTCCTGTCTCATAATGCACCTTTGTATTTGTACATACTTTTTCTCTATGTACAAAAAGAGGTCGCGCCTGGCTGGCAGTCTGCAATAATTATTCGGAAACAACAAAAATGGAATTTCCTTAGCAATAGACCGTAACATCAATGTTCTTGTTACTGTACTAATCCATCTAGGTTGTATAATCAGACCCTTTGCCCTCCACCAGGTAATTGGTCAGGTCATCAATTCGCCGACTTAAATTTGGATTGAAATAATTGTCTCTTGTCTGTGCAGAGTTGTATGTGACGTCCGTTTCTCTCTATGCGACATCTTTTCGAAGGGTATCATTTCTTCATCAAGTTAGGTTTGACTTAGTGTTGTCGCGAGTGTTTTAGTCGATGGGGCAGGAACTAGTTGACTGGAAGGTGTGTTTGCTTGAGAACTCGATGAAAGACAAAGGGATGGTGGGAGATGTCGGACTGATTTCTGGCTACTTGATCATTTTTCGTCACTGATATCTGAAAGGTGAATTTATATGTGATTTAATTAAACAGAAAAGCGGTTTTAAAAGTTGTCAGGGGTTCAAAATAGTCAAACCACATCGTATGCTTTCGATTTCTAGGCTAAAACGGAATTAATGTGGTCAAGTTGTGGAGTATCATCGATTATTGTAGCTGTGTTTTGGCATAAGTGTATTTTTGATTACGTTCAAAATAAGTCTTGCGAGCCATCGACATTAAATGTGGTATTTCGGAAATCCCAAGACGTATCGAATGTTTTTATTACCTAGGCGGAGCCATCCACGTTTCTCTGAAGACATCAAACGGTGTTACAACCTTTTTCAATATTCCTGAGTTTGCAATCCGACACTTTATGCACAAACCCTGGAATCATTTGCCCGACGCTTGCATCTAAGTTGAAATGGATGTCTTGTTTCGATAGTTTCACGCCGAAAGAGCATATGCTAGAGTCGCTTTGGCCTCCGTTTGAATGAAATATTTCCGTTTGAGTACTTTTTAAGTAATCCTGACCGCAGATTACGTTCACGACAACTTCAACACAGGCAGGAAAACTAGCAGTAGAGATGTTGTTGCCATTTAAATCACCTCCAACAAAACAGTCTCCAAGTAGACACTAGAAAAATCCAGTGTTTGGAGAAATTCAGCAGAGTTATTGGGTGGTTAGCAAAAGCAGGAAAGTCCCAACGAAGCAGCACGACGTGCAGCTCCTCTTGATCACACACGTTCGAAAATTTGATCGATAACCACATTCACGTGGACCCAGAGGACTGCTGTACGTGTGCTTCCCGGTTTGCTAATTTTGCGCCAAATGTTTGCCAGTAAAGTTAAACAACAGACAAAAGTGCCTTGCATTGACACAAAATTGTCACAGATTTGGTGCCGGCAGAAACGGTTTAGTGAAATATTCGTGCCTGAGTGTGTGTGCGTGTCTGCAAGTCTAAAGAAGACTCCTTGGACGTTTCTGAGGAAGATTCTAGGATGATCTATTTTAAGTCCAACGACCTTTTCTGTTGTGCCTAAAATCTAAATTGCTTGGACTCTTAAAACCCGTATTTATAGACGAATTCTTAAATCGTCGGCTTTTGTTGTAGCGCATAAGGCTCCCCCCAACACCAAGACAGGACCGCAAACATGGACAGGAGAGCCGAAATCCTATATCATCACATCGATTTAATGAAGGAGACCTACATCAAACGACTAAAGGAGTTTGTCGCAATTCCAAGCATCTCCGAAGACCTCAACCACCGTCTTGATGTCTTGAGAGCACTACGTTGGTGTGGAATTCGACTCAAGAAGTAAGCAAATATTGGTTTCCTCGATGCGCGGGAACACGTAGCGTGTAGCGTGTTGACTGACGGTGATCTCACGTGCGTTTTCATCTGTCCCTTCCGCTAGCATGGGGTTCGACATTCGCTACCGCATAGTCGGGACGGAGAACGTCTACATTGGTGATGAGGTGCCGTTGCGCACAGAGGAGACTGCCCATCTTCCGTACCTCCTCTGTGCTTCCCTTGGCTACGACACAACCAAGTACACGCTACTGATCTACGGCCACGTCGACGTGAAGATGATTGCGCCAGGCGAGGTGTGGAATGGCGACCCCTTCGAAATGCAAGTGGTCGGCGATTTCATCTACGGTCGAGGCGTCACCGATGACAAAGGACCTGTGCTTGGCTGGATCAATGCCATTGAAACGTTCACGGTGAGTCAGTGCATTTCTTACTCAGTTGTGCTCAAATACGGTTCAATTTAATTGGTTGCCGGTACTCATTCTTAATTTCCATTGGTCCTTGTTCACAAGGCCTCGACATTACTTAGGGTTTATTGTTGCAATGCTGCTGAATCAATTTGGTGAGCATCCGTGCGCTAACCAATCATTCACCTAGCCGATAGCGGCTCAAATACCTCGATCTCCATGGCACCACCCCAGTCTAATGATCGATGATTGGCTTCATCCGCTATTCCCCTCTGATTGGTCATCACCCACAACCAATCCTCTGCGTGCGTTAGCCTTCTGAAATGCACCAACGCACCCACTAGTGGTTTTACCGATTGACTTGATTATTGATTTTGCAAATTTTTCTCAATTTTAGCAATGCGCTATAGAACTTCCCGTGAATGTGCGCTTCCTTATTGATGGATCAGAAGAGACCGGCTCAGAGTTAATTCCTGAACTTTTGAGAGAGTTGAGAAAAGATTTCCTCGTGGTGCGTGACATCTTATTTGCATTCGGTATTACCTCGAAATGTGCATTTCAGTAATGCAAAGTGAGCAATGAGTCATTTGTGTTAACCAATCAAATTCATCTTCCATTACCTCCTGGCCAATGAGATTAAAGCAGGTGGTAATTGGTCGGATACACGATTTGATGGCTAAGAAATGATGGATATAGTGATTAAAAATGTGGATGCTATGGTGACAAAGGATTGTACACTTCCAATTCACTAGGGCGTCGACTTCGTGGCCATTTCAGACAATTACTGGTTGAACATGGACACACCGTGTCTGACCTATGGACTGCGAGGCGTGATCTACTTCTACGTCTACGTTGACGGATCAAGTCGCGTCCTGCACTCTGGTACCCACGGCGGCGCTGTGCAGAACCCTCTTGTCGACTTGGAAGCGCTGATGTGTTCCCTGGTGAGTACCAACGGGACGATCTTGGTGCCGGGAGCCTACAGTTGCGTGCGGCGTCCCACTGAGGCTGAACTCAGGCAAGACTACTTTTTTTCCCAGTGTTAGATAAATTTTTTAATGGATATGACAACATCCTAGCGATTTCCCACTTTGCTCAAGAAGTGGAATCAATTTTGAATGCAAAAATGAGCACGTAGGCTTGTTTGAACAAGTTGATCGCAAGATGAATGGATTCAGCTGTCATCTCGCCGCCTTTTCATTAGCCACCACGCTCAACCAATCCTCTGCGTCCGCTAACTTGTACGAACTGTAATTGATTGCGTACTTGGGTAACCAATGAAAGTCAGGTTTTACCAACCATATACCCTTATTCTAAGCAGACAGAAATGCGATATGCATGAATCAAAAACACTGATGTTACTGAATTTCTCATTTAAGTAGCTATCTGTGATTCCAGTATTTCTTGTACTCCTTAAGAAACTTCGAAACCTTGGATTTTGACCCTGCGACTTACGCAAAGCAAATAGGCACGGACGCATTGTACAGCAATGACAAGGTGGAACTTCTTCGAAGGCGTTGGCTCCTTCCAGCGGTTGAATTCCACGGAATCGAGAAATCATTCGACAGAATTGGAGCCCCCACACTTATACCCAAATCGGTACATTGCTTTGCTGATAAAGGATAGCTGAACAATAACTCCTACTCAATTACATTTAAGTAGATGGTTTGGTAAAACTTTGATTTAGCGTCGAATATCGTTGTTTCAAGGTAATGGGAAAGTTTTCGTTGAGGATCGTGCCTGACCAAAATCCCTACTTGATGTCCGAGCGCTTCAAGTGTTACCTCCACCAGATGCACTACCGGCGCTGCAGTGGCAACCGCTTAAGGGTGAAGAGTTTTATCGATGGACGCGCTTTTCTCGCTGATCACACCTGTGTGAACTACCGCGCTGCGTACAAGGCGCTAGAGGAGGTGTGGAAGAAGAAGCCAGATCTCACGCGAGACGGCGCTACCATTGCCATGGCGTGCACTCTTGAGGTAACCATCGTCTTTCAGTCAATACGTTGCCTTGGCAACAGGAGTCTAGGGTCATTCTGAAGCACTCAGGTTAAGACTAATCAATCCTAAGTAGTTTAGACGTTTACGTAACCCTAAATTATGTCAATGAAATGTTTTGACTTGACAGCCAATAGGAGGCGTGCAACACAGCTTTAATTAGCCAATAAAAACGTCATTATTCATGTCAAGTGATTGGTGAGTGAATCAACCAATGACAGTGTTACGCACTTCCTATTAGCTGGCAGGGTCCGGCTAATAGGTGAACTCTGGCGATTGATTGGTCACGGTGCAGATCCATTTACGATGATTAAATTTCTGTAGGAGACAACCAATAGGGACGTGGTTCTGATCCCAATGGGTGAGTGTCAGGACTTCCAGCACGAGGCCAGGGAACGGATGTCTGTTCGCAACTACATCAACGGCATCAAAGTCTTTGTCTCCTACCTCTGCAACCTCAGTGCTGCGATCATAGAAGACAGCGAAGACGAGGATATGCGTCAAGAAGATCGTGATAGATGGCGGAAGAGGTTCTGGTAGAATTGACGCCCAAATGAATGCCATTATTTAGTAGTGTACTGAATTTTCTAAATTCCAAAGTTATTTGGGTTAATTTAAAAGTTAGCACTGTATTGACCGTTTAATTAATAATTGCTACTAATTAGTAAATTAGTAGCATTAATAAATACGATTGAGTTTCGTCTGTGCATTGAACACTTAGCAACGAATCAGGTCACCACGCGGGACGTCAACTTTGCAAACTTCTTGAGAAATGTATACCTTCGATGGTCTGACAAGGACCCTTTCTTTATTTTCGATTATCCGGGGAGCAGAGTGGTGCAGAAGTCCGATTTCGGAAATTTTACAAATTAATTTAAGTCATGAACGTAGAAAATGTGAAATCTCGTCTTGTAGAATGATTTAATGTAGACGTTTCAAGTTGGGCGCACCTAGACATCATTAGCATCATCAAGTACTTTGTGAGCGTACTATCAATATTGATTATTTCATCACAAAAAATCGAAAATCACTCTGATGATGCTGTGCAAATGTGATCACTTTAACACATCTTTCGTAAAGTCGTGTATTTAGTGCTTGAAAAGTAGAGGTTATCGTTTTTGCATTAATGCACACCACTCTCTTTATTCATATCGACCGCCTTACTTCCTATTGGCTCAAGCCCCTGCAGATACTATAGCCATTTCAAGTGGCATCGAGATCGTCCGAGGCAGGTACAAATGAAGCTATTGGCCGTAATTTCCTAGTTTCTTCGATAATTCCGATAAATTGGCCTGCAAGTGTTACCTTATTACAAACTCCACGTCGACACCGTTTGCCAGTTGAGTAGCCAATCGCCTTCCCCTCACACAGACCTTCCAACACCATACAACTCCACAGCAGTCCAACAAAAACACCAGGCGAGAGCAAAACGCACTCGCCAATTTAACCAGCCTATAAAAGGCCATTGATCGCCTGCCCTTTTAATGCCGTCCATTCAGGTTAGTCGTACGGCCAGAGCATTGGCCAATGAACGAGTCGCGCACTTTCTATTGGCTGTCGGGCGGAGAGCGTAGCTAAGGCGAGTCGTGAGATCTCCTTTAGATAATGTAGGAGTAGTCGGTTTACGTGGGCGCTTATTCTGGTCAATGGTAAGTCTAATTGAGTGGTATTTGAGAAATCCCCCTCTCAAATATCGGTCAATTTTTTGTCGATATCTTTTCGTTAGCACTGGGAGCCAATAAAACAATCCTTTTCATAGACATTTCAAAAATTAATTTTTTTAAAATCAACTGGTGCATTCGTAGAGTGAAAATTAATTTCCTGGATCACTAAGTGTTGTCTTAAACGGCGTCTGTGTTCTTCTGAATGCTAAAACATCCAATAAGCGCCAAGAGAGATTATTCCGAACATATCGTAATTTAGATATCGATCATGGCTACTGCGCAAATTATCTGTAAATTTGATGAAGCAGAGATCCAGAGGAACTCAAGGCCCCATTGGTTTCCAATGGCCAATCAGAGCTCAGATTAGACTTGTTGAATTTACTAAAACATGTAGTAGCCTGATTGTAGTGAAGGGCTATTTTATCACCAAGGTGAGTAGTGGTAATAGCAACGAATCACTGATTAACAGCAAATGAGCGGTTAATTTCAAGCTGCAGCATCAATGACCAAAAGATTATTGATTTATCGATTGCAGCGCTATACTAGCACATACAAACGACAGAATAAATCACACGGCAATTAAAAAGCTGATTTAGTAATATCGACAAAACCAAGGTTTTAGGTGGCATAGCAACTATCGCCGAGGGGGGATTATTTAAGGGAATTTGGTATAATCGCAGCGAATTTAGATCTTTCGACAGCATGAGCATGGTTCGCCCATTGGACAAATTACAGGCGGCGCCCTGGGCAAAACTGAATTAAAACAAGGAATAGATCAAAAATCTCAGGGCAAATATTACTCTGAGCAATAGGTGAAAGGTAACTACTTCAGATTCGTGTCACTAAAATGTCGAATGGTTGCCAGTATCACATGACCTAGGTTGTCTTCGGAACGAAGTCTCGTCTAACCACTACCGTATCTCGTGCCTTTGCAACCAATTAAAACGCATAGCCGAGAGCCAATAGGAATCGACTTTAAACATGAGTTGAAATCAGCGCCTTGGTGCGAAAAGAATGCTGACCTTCCCACGTTTTGAGAGGTTCTTGTCGGTGTCGCGTAAGGTAACAGCGCAGTCAGTTCTACGTTTGACTCGAAATGACCTTGACTCGTTGAATCCTACAAGCTAATTGGTTAAAACTGTCCCCGTTTCGTCCTGAACTCGGGTACAGAGTGTCGGGTCACCTTCACACGAAATGATCAGAGTTAGGCTTGCCACAGGTAAATTTTCTGTAAATTATCGGCAGTGCATAGTTTGGCTATGTTAGGAAATGCGAAGGTGCGGATGAAAGCTGATAGCATCCAAGTTGTTTTAATGATGATCATATCCTAGCAGAACACCAGAGAATTAGACTGCCTTCAGACTGGAAGCGTCTATCCGTGTTTGATCATGATCGTCTTCAACTTATATTGGGGCTGAAATGCCTGTCAGAAATGATGCTAACCAAAATGTTCGTTTCTCATTATTGTTACCCATTTCGGCTGAAATTGAACTTACGCCGGTATCAGTAAACAACGTCTGTTGTACCAAAGGTGACCTTGTGATGGCTACGTCTGCGAACCTACATTCGATTGCTACTTTGCAAAATCCAGAAGAATTTGCAACTCTCATCTCCGAGGCTTCGGATGAAAATTTCCTTGTTATTCGTGATGAAGTGAGTTTCTTTACAGCAGTAAGTCAATAGTTTTCTATCCTGGTTGACTGTTTTTTTTTTTTAAAAAAAATCACAATTAACGCCACCACGAAACACGCAGTGATTGTCTCTTGTTGTTTTAAATATGTAAAAAAGCATTTAATTCCGCGGCATTTTAGAATGGAAACGGCTTGACGCATCTGGCTGCACTCCATGGGAACATTCCGTTGTTGCGTTTTCTCATTGAAAATCAAATCCTGGAAGTTGACGCGCTCAACAAGGTTAGTTCGAAATCGACCAAATTCATTTGCTTTCGAGTGTGTTTGAATAAAACAGCCAATCAAACCCAAGTTATTGAAAATCAATTGCCCAATCAAATCATGCTACTATAAGTTGAAGCCCGTCTCTTAATTGTGTTTCATATAAGCCTTGGTTGTCGCCAGTTTCCATTATTCATTTGAATTTTCATTTTGTACTGTTAGATTGATTAATGCTTTCAAGTTGATTGCATTACTTCAACTATCGATTGCTTGTTGGAATTTTTTAACCAATCAGAATCCAGAAAAATTGTTTTTTTTTTGACTGGCACGCTTTACAAGGGTCATTCCATCAATCCCCATAGGATAAGAAAGCACCGGAAAACATGATTTTATAATAATCTTTCCGAATATCAATGATATTAACTACCGATTATCGATTTTTGTTGGTAAAATGCACAGCTCCAGCAACCTCCGTTGTTTTTCGCAATCCTCTCGGGCTCTCTGGAGACAGTGCGAGTTTTCCTTGAGGAAGGCGCCTCATTTGACGTGGCAGATGCCGTAAGTGAGAAAATTAGCATAATGGCCCTGCACACGCGCACACAGGGAGAGCGAGCGACTCACGCTAATATCCACCAATATGCTCTTTCGCGTTCATCTGTGTTCTCTCAAATCACATTTCGACATATTACAGCCAAGCGTTGTTCCATATTTTTTGCCAATGCATTTAGCAGTTGTCGACACGCCATAATGACCTTGAGAATTTGTCTCTATGTATACCATTTTGTGGATATTTCCACGTAGAACCACTAGCTGAACCCTGGGCAGTTTCAAACCAGTTCCTGGTCGAAATCATATTTGAAACGTCTATCGTTTTCTGATAGAACGGTGAAACTCCTGCACACATTGCGGCAAAGGTTAACAACCTGGAGATAGCCGAATTCGTGTCCACTATCGGTGTGGACCTCAATCACGTTAATAATGTAAGTTGACACACACTTTTCACCAATCAAAATTCTGACTATTTAAATATCAAGGCTGAAACCGAAATATTTATTTAATTTAGCCAATTTAAACGATAATTTATCGATAAGTTTCGACTCCTTTAAAGTAGCAATTAAAAAACAAGCCCTGACGTTCGCGTCCCATTCACCACGGCTCTCACCAACCCTAACGGCCAATCAGATTTGAGGAAGCAAATTAACCAATCAGGATGCAGAAAAGCAAATCCTAGCGTTCTGAGTAGTCGATTGACTGAATTAAACGTCATTTTTATTCTTAAAATGTTCTTTTTTGTAATTCAGATATTTCTCACTTCATAACCGCGATTTTTTGCAGATGGGAGAGACAGCTTTGCATGTTGCTTGTCGTCTGGAGAATCTTAACAGCGTTATAGCACTGTCAGCTGCCGGAGTCAACCAAAACGCGGTATCTGGTGTAAGTTACAACTCGGCTACACTAAATATACTTTTAAAATGGTCAACTAATTTCGATTTGAAAAAGGATTCTGGTCAGATTCTGCTTGAATTGACAAATGTTTTCAATTGCTTTCTTAATTCAAGTTTGAAAAACAACAAGAATCTCGTAATTAGTGATTATTTAGACTGGTTTAAACATAGTGCACCTATTTGACATAAATTCTTGCTCGTTTCGACGGATTTCAGACAAATTTTTCACATGATATTTCATTCTTGTATATGTTTTTAAAATCTGACTAGATTCTGCTAAATTCGGTTAAAAAAATTCCACATTTGTACTTTACTGCAGCCACAGTCATCTCAGATTATACATTCTTGTACGACGAGGAAAATATTCTGGTACTATTTATAAAATATACTTTACTACTCGTTTTTATTCAGTAGCTGGTATTTGCTTTAACTCGCCCTTAATATTATATTACTGATGAAAATTTGGTTCCTCGGGATAATCCTACAGAGCTAATTTAAAAAGTTGTCTCTTTTAACCTAGAAAGGAGCAACTGCTCTACTTTTGTCAGCACAACGAGGCTTCGACGAAATCGTTCGTGTGCTACTTGGAAGAGGAGCAAATCCAAACATCCCCGACAAGGTGAACTACTTATCAAACCAGTCATTTTCGCCAGAACTGATAAAATCGATTTAAAAATCGATCAAATTCACTTTCCACTTGCATTTTTTGAAATTACAGCAGTCGCGTTGGCTATGTTACAAAATAACGAGACTTTACAGAAAGCGAATACACTATACCTACTGATATTTTTGTAGTAGCATAATTAAGAAAACCTTTCTTGTAATTTAGACCGGGAATATGCCACTGCACTTTGCCTGTGCAAACGGCGATCACCAGATGGCCGAATTACTGTGCGAGCACGGGGCGGCACTCAATGTCCACAATCACGTAAGTTTTCGTGCCCTAAATAAATCGATACTGGGTGTGTGGTCGTTTCGACTGCTGCTTTAGGAACTGCTCAGCCCCCTTCATCTGGCGGCCAAATCCGGTGGCCTGGAACTCGTGAGGGCCTTGTTGTACCACGGTGCAGACTCCATCTTCCCGAACGGTGTAAGCTGATTGGAGGGCTGCGCGTCCTTGATAAGTGTAGAAAGCGCCACGTAGCTTGTTTAAAGCGCGGTTTTGGTGTTTCTAGGTTGGAATCACAGCCGATGTGACGGCTTACGCGAATGGCCACACTGAAATCGGCAAACTCATCGCCAGTATAAGCCCGGTAAGTCAGATCGGCCAATCATATCCTGCTTGGTACATAATTGCACGGCCCAATTAAATTGCGACCTTGAGCTGGGAAATTTACCACTGCATTGGTCGTCCATCTCTTTCTGCTATCTCGTCACGAATTTTTACATTTAACACTATACCTAACAGCTGTAAATGGCAAAACTCGTGGTTTGCTTGCGAACATAACGAAATGTAATTTTAAATCTGAAATACTTTTTCTATTTTAAAAACACGTGGCCGCCAAGTCATGCTTTCAAAGACGAAATTTTATTTTTACTTATTAAATATACAGTAGTATACTGAGAACAAAGCTCGGTATTGCTGAGAACATTCAGTGATGTGGAAGAAAGTCAGATATAAGAAATTTTTTACTTGATTTTACGATCGCGTTCCTTGAAGGATCGATTCTCGCGTCTCCGTGGGCAGTTTGAGCCTCTCACGAACAAACCGCGAATCAAGTTGAAACTGTTCGGCTCATCTATGTCGGGCAAATCAGCGCTATGTGTTGCCT